ATCGTTTTCCTAATCTTTGTTTTACCGTCGAAATACTACAGAAACGAATTCAAAAAGTCAATTCGTAGGAGATCAAATGCGATCTACCCTCTTTTCCTCTAACATTCTAGCTACACTTGTTTTTTTCTTCTTCTTCTCGTGTCAATAATGCTTAATCGGACTTACTATTCAGCTCTTCGCCTATCTATAATGGACGTGAGAAATACTGTCAGTCGATACGAAACAGAATTTAATTATTAGTACAGAACGATACTCTCTGTGCTTCTCAGTAACGAGAAACTAATTAAATATTGTGTATATGATATCCAGATAATGATAATCACCTCATCTTTCATCTACTTGGCAGATTGAATAAAAAGAAAAGAGAATATAAGTTCACATACATGTGCTTCTTAACTGAACGATGTGGACCAAAGAGGATCTAGTTCGTTTTCAACAAAATCTTTTTATTATATCCATTCCTATTATCATCATCACTGGCAACATTGGTTCGATTTTGAATATAATCGTTTTCTCAGGTAGTACTAAACTTCGTAGAAGCCCTTGCTCACTATATTTGATCTTTTCTTCAATTGGTTATGCTGTTTATTTGAACACTGTTCCTCTGCTAAGATTTCTTCAAACTGGTTTTCATATCGATCTATCTGCACAATGGTCATGCTTTTGTAAAGGTATCTTATGAGTAAAACAAATCGTCATTGGTTTTTACGTCGTCCGACGACGTGGAAAATAATAATAATAAATTATTTATTTTGGGCGATCGTTTGTGTTCATAACTTGATCTTTTATGATATTCAAATATCGTCAAATAGCACAGACCGTACTTGTACATACCAACCGGGCCCATATTCGACATTTTTGAGTTTCTATTCCATACTAATCAATGGAATATCAATGCCGTTATTAACAGCAATATTTGGCTTTTTAACACTTCGAAATTTGAAGTCTCTTCGGAAGCAAATTCATACAAGTATCATCAATGACTTCCAACGGAGGAGAAAATGACACTCAGACGATTGATGGCAATCCGAATAACAATAAATTCTGTCGAAAATAGATCTCAGCGACGGGTTCTAAGGGTACTATTATTGTAACAGATGTTGATCGACGTGGAAGTTGTTGGAAATTTTATTTTTGGAACCGATAGAACTCATCAAGTTGTAGTTGGAACCAGCGTTGATTCGACTGAAACCTCCGCTGAAATGAATTCGCTCAAGAAAATGTCGAATCCTGCCCGAAGGTATCCTACGTTTGTAGACAATAACAAGTGTGCTAATTGAATACATTATTTAAACAAATTTTTAATATCAATGTTTCTAATGAGTATTTTTGGTAGTGTGCGCAATGTGCACTTTGTTTTTTAACCTAATTCTTTCGCGCATTCTAAAGTGTTCAAGAAATTATACGCAGAGTGCATAGTCTAGAAAAAAAAAGAATATTGAATGCAATTAATATCTTCTTTATAAACGTTTTCATTTCAAAGTTTAGTAAATAGAAATAAATGAAGCAGATTAGATATAATCAGTCTTCATGGAAAACAAGTGAAAAAAGACTCATGCTAATATATACCTATTTAAATGTCAGTGATAATTTTAAAAAGTTGTTCGAAAGAAACATGCAGGACACAGTGTATTTTTAACTTCAAAGTTTACAGTGCGCACTTTGTTTTCTTATTCATGATGGCAGCATAGCGCGCTTAGAAAAAAAAAACAGATATTCCGCGCACTCTACTCTATATGGTACACTTTGTCATTAGAAACACTGTTTATTTCTCACTAAAAGCTTTTTCTTTTCTAGTACTCAACAAATATTTTAAAAGACAATGTGACCAAAAAACCAGCTTTTCTAAGAACAACCAGTACCTTTTAGCAAATATTTCCATGACTTGAAAAGTTGAATAAAATTTAAAAGCATATTCCTATGAAAAGTCTTTTTTCTCATCAGTTATCAAAGAAACTTCGGTAAAACAAGCGTTGTCAAAAATGTTTCGGATCATCTTTCTTCTGTCGTTTTTTCCTGTCTATGAATCAATTTTCCTCAGTAAAATAAATAATGGTATAAGAATGGGTATACCAAATATGTCATTATTCAATTCAACACAAAATGAATGTATATGTAAAATGTTGAAATCCAATGGATTGATATCAGGAGTAAATTATTTTTCATCCAATCAGACTTGTCAATTATTTCAATCTGGGAATAGTTCAATTGTGATAAAAATTAATTTAAATTCTTGTTTGATATATATTAATCAGACAGCCATATCAACAACAACAAATAATAGTAAGTTCAACGGAAACATATAGACGAATGAAAAAAAGATATTAGAATTACTGTATAGAGATTCTTACTTTCAAACTGAAAACGTTTTAATCGCCATCTATCATATATTTCTTATCTATATCTATTCATTTTGTAATAGTTGGCAAGAATAGCTCACTGTTTGGTAATCAAAGAACTTACTCAGCTGGTACCAGTCCATATTTTATAGCTGTAGGCAATCTGAATAATGACAACACAGCTGATATTGTTGTAGCAAATTATGATTCGAACACCGTAGGTATTCTTTTCAACATAGGCAACGGAAGCTTTTCTCCGCAAATAACTTATTCAGTTGGTCCCAATCCAGCTTCGATCGTATTATTTGATCTGAATAGTGACGGAAAACTTGATATTGTGGTGACCAATTTTGGCTCGAACACCATCAGTGTTCTTCTGAATATTGGTAATGGAACATTTTCTTCCCAGAAAACATATTCAGTTCACGACCAGCCAATTTCAGCAGCGGTCGCTGACACAAACAATGACAGCAAATCCGATATTGTTGTTGCAAACCTTTATGCAGACAATATCAGCGTTCTTCGCAACTATGGCAATGGTACTTTCGCGCCTCAAAAAACTTATCCAGTCGGTAGCTTCCCAAGAGCAGTAACGGTAAATGACATTAGTAGTGACCACAGACCAGACATTATCGTTGTAAATGCGGATTTAAACAATGTCGGCGTTCTCCTCAACATCGGCAACGACACGTTTTCTTCCCAGAAAACATATCCGGTTGGTGATAATCCAAGATCAGTAGTGACTGGAGATCTTAATAATGATGCGAAACCCGATCTTGTAATTGCAAACTATGATTCAAACACGACAGCTATTCTTTTTAACACAGGCAATGGAACCTTTTCTTCTCCAACTAATTATTCAGTTGGCATCGGCCCAAAATCAGCAGTACTAAGCGATTTAAATGAAGATAACCAACTTGATATAATAGTGACAAATTATGATTCGAACACCATCAGTATTTTACTTAACAGCGGTAATGGTACATTTTTTCCTCAAATTACCTATCCAACTGGCGACAGTCCTAGATCAGGAGTGGCAGTCGATGTAAATAATGATAATAAACCTGATCTTATTGTTGCAAATGAAGTCTCGAACAATATCAGCGTTTTTTTACATAATTAAAACTTATTCATTAGTTGAACTCTTTTCATTTTTTTGAGGGTGATGTGAGGATGTGACTAAAATAAGACCATCTACATTCTTACCGCTCCTTAACTCTTTTGCGACACACGACGCTTTATAGTGTCATTGAAATTTTTACGTGGTCTTCTATGTGAGACTTCGAATTTTTTCACATTATATCTTCACAGTTCACGCGTTCCTATTATGATCTATCAACACATAAAGGTCACTAGCTATTCTCTCTGTTGCTTGACATTGTTTTTCTGAAATCTCCGAAAATTTTCTACATATCTTTCACTTATATGTGTGTACCTGCTCGAATCTTTTTACAGTTTATATGGATCACAGCACGGCCTTCACGGTTCTCATTCTCTGTAGGACAACTTGAGGGAAAAGGACGCTCAATCAAAGACAAAATGCAGCTCTAAACGCTATGACCGAACTGTAGAATGGTTTATTCTCGACAATAATGTGAAAAACACTGTTCGTTTTGGTCATAGAGTCAAGCGAGAGAAAAACGGACGCAGCAATACATGGTTTTATTGTCTGGAGTGTCATGTCTCACCATGTAGTCCTAACTGTTTCAAAGCATGTCACATTTTGAAAGCTTTCTGATGTTCGTACTGTCTTAAATCCAGCAAAAATAAGTCATTCTTTTTAAACCCTCAGAGCTAATCTCATCTTAAAATAAGCCGGTCCTCAAAGGGTTAAAGAGCTAAACATCGAAATGTAAGTGTATTTATGAAAAATAACGAGGGGACAAAGTCCAATGAAGATTCTATTTAAAACATATATTTCGTAGGTATAATTTCTATTAAAAGTTTGTTTGCGATTTTGCAATTGATAAATGTTGCTTCAGAAAAAATATCGGATCACGTTTCTAAGATATGATTATATAATAATTGCCGTTCAATCCCTCACTAAGATTTAAGCATAATACACAAGTTGAGAAAATTTTTATTAATGCATTATATACAGACAAATATTCGTTTATGAGAAGCTACATTGGGCTCTGTCTATTTAACTGTGGGAAAAAATATCAGCCCACCCCATACCCATGAAAACGATCGAGAGCCTTGCAAGTGATGCTTGGTTATTTTTGAGTGGATACTTTGTTTCATTTATTCCGCCGATGATCGTTTTCCTGATCTTTGTTTTACCGTCGAAATACTACAGAAACGAATTCAAAAAGTCAATTCGTAGGAGATCAAATGCGATCTACCCTCTTTTCCTCTAACATTCTAGCTACACTTGTTTTTTTCTTCTTCTTCTCGTGTCAATAATGCTTAATCGGACTTACTATTCAGCTCTTCGCCTATCTATAATGGACGTGAGAAATACTGTCAGTTGATACGAAACAGAATTTAATTATTAGTACAGAGCGATACACTCTGTGCTTCTCAGTAACGAGAAACTAATTAAATATTGTGTATACGATATCCAGATAATGATAATCACCTCATCTTTCATCTACTTGACAGATTGAATAAAAAGAAAAGAGAATATAAGTTCACATACATGTGCTTCTTAACTGAACGATGTGGACCAAAGAGGATCTAGTTCGTTTTCAACAAAATCTCTTTATTATATCCATTCCTATTATCATCATTACTGGCAACATTGGTTCGATTTTGAATGTAATCGTTTTCTCGGGCAGTACTAAACTCCGTACAAGCCCTTGCTCACTATATTTGATCTTTTCTTCAATTGGTTATGCTGTTTATTTGAACACTGTTCCTCTGCTAAGATTTCTTCAAACTGGTTTTAATATCGATCTATCTGCGCAATGGTCATGGTTTTGTAAACTGCGTTTCTTCACTATCGGCTTGTTTCTTATGCTACCTCGATCGTATATGTTATTGGCAGCTGTGGACAGGTAGAAAAGTTATTCAACTGTGACCATCAATCCACTGAAGGTTTTTTTGTATAGGTATCTTATGTGTAAAACAAATCGTCATTGGTTTTTACATCGTCCGACGACGTGGAAAATAATAATAATAAATTGTTTATTTTGGGCAATCGTTTGTGTTCATGACTTGATCTTTTATGATATTCAAATATCGTCAAATAGCACAGACCGTACTTGTACATACCAACCGGGTCTATATTCGACATTTTTGAGTTTCTATTCCATACTAATCAATGGAATATCAATGCCGTTATTAACAGCAATATTTGGCTTTTTAACACTCGGAAATTTGAAGTCTCTTCGGAAGCAAATTCATACAAGTATTATCAATGACTTCCAACGGAGGAGAAAAGAAGAATGGCTTCTATGTCGCATGCTTCTCGTCCAATTATTTGCTACAATTGTATTAACCTTACCTATCACAGTTGCTTTATGTTATAATGGTTTAACACAATATCAGCAAAAATCTTCATTTCGAACATTTGTTGAAAATTATATCTTTCAAATGTGTACTCTTTTACAGTACATTAATGCAGCGGTAGGAGTCATCGAGTTTCAATTCGAATTAGAAAACAACAATTAACTATTTTTTAGGTCTCATTCATTGTTTATTCGTTAACATCTCGAATATTCTGCAAAGAACTAGTTTTGCTCGTTAAATATTATAAAGTTCGAATTCGACAAGCTCTTCGGAAACATTCAGCAGCGCTTTTTGCACGACTGACTCATTCTTGTATACTGTAGAGAAAAACAACAACAACAACACGTGCTCTTTTGTGCGTATAAAAATAAATGCACACTTTTACATTCATGGGCGTCATATAAAAATGTTGTGCTTGAAGGAAGAAATGGAGACTCCAATGAATAAGACTGACGATACAGCTGTCGCACCTTGTTCTTCGCTTGATTCCGATTTATTAGATTATCGCATTGCAGTTTAAACTGGTTGCTATTCATTAGTGATGTTTATAAATAGCAGCTGTTATGATGAAATATCGAATCGTGGTTGGACAAATGAACACGTTCGCTGTGCGTCCAGATTCGCAAAACCGAGACTATGAAAAATTTGTTTTGTCCGTAGCAGAAAAGTATGTTGTAAGTAAATAGGATGTTGATTATAGCGGGTTGAAGGTGATGATTCAACGATCTGAATTAGTCGCCTATTACATTCACCGTGGTTATATCGATACGAGTGATCCTGAAACATTTTCCATGGAATAAGTGAGGTTCGGAGGTAACTTACATTACTCTACAACTTAGAAACTTGGGTTATGGTCGAATGCGTGAGGAGGGATGATGAGGTATACACAATTAGTCATGACTTGCATGTTGATGTAAAAGAAAAGAAAGAAAATGTGTTTGTTAGTTTAAGATATAAAGAGTGCGAATGTCACTTTCAAAGCTCGAATCGCTTCCCAACGAACTTCTACTCGATCTTTTCGAGAATTATATCGACGGAACCGATCTTCTTACTGTGTTTCTTCATCAATTCAATGAACGCTTTGATGCATTGCTGAGTCAGACTCGAATTTATTTCAACTTCATTGGTTGCCATTTAGACACATTTCGCTATTCTTTACGTGTTCTTCCGGATTATGCCAATAGAATAACAAAATTAGCTTTATCTGAACGCGATACACCTGGTCAAATCAATATGTTCTTTGCCTGTTTTCCATCATTCGCACCTTTTGAACAACTTCGTTCACTTTACATTTATTGCAGTGGACAAGGAATTAATTCAAAGTCGGTGCAAACTGCTATTTTGACATTAGTCGATACTAAAATCGAAACTTTGACGGTTAAAATGATCAAAGGAGCATGCTTTCCTTCGTGGATAACCGTCATTTCGACTATATTTACATTAACCACATTGCGACGACTGTTACTGGCTTTTCCTCCGCGCTATACCACTTGGAAAGCACAGTTAACTACTTTATTAAACATCGAACACTTGACCGTCACAGGTTTACAGTGTGATTGGAATACACTGGCATCCTTTTCACGATACATGCCTCATCTGAAATATCTTAATGTCGATGTAGATGATCATTTCTTCTCACCATTAGTAGCACATTATCAATTCGTACCAATGCTCAAACTACGCGCACTTTTTCTATACTTTTGTAATGGCAGTATCATCGGCGTATTGCGACAGTATTTTGACTATACACCTGCCCTCTATCGTTTAACAGTAGACGGACCTGATACGTTTTTCGAGCCTGAGCCTTGGCAGGCGTTAATAGAAGCATCATTACCACAACTGAGGCACTTTACTTTGAGTACAAGTATATTTCGTCCCAGACATCAGTCAAATATCTATCCCACGAATTTATTGACATTATACAACAATCCATTTTGGATGACGAAGTTGAATTTCAATATTATTGTTATAGATCATGAACTGCAAGGTCGCTATGAGAATGCCATCAGTGAGATATGTGACAGTGGAAATGATATTTTCCGAGCTGACGTTAGTCACCGCCCGGTCATTCAATGGTGGGCTGCAGACAAACATAATTCACATGGTCATGTTTATTATTTAAATACAATTACACGTCTATGTATTTCCTCCTTGCCTGATTCATCTTCTCACCAGTATTATTTCAAGAATGTCACATTTCTCGCCTTGTACAATCTAAATTCAAGATTAGTGGAATGGATACTGAACTGTGTGAATTGTTCGAAAATCAGAGAACTGGTTATTTCGTTTTCAGACAAGGAAACTAAGGCAATAAACTTGCTTTTACAATCCACTGTGAACATTCAGTCATTAAAAATCGACTTCGATCACTTGATTCCTGATCGCGGTGCATCCATTCGACGCAATATTCATCTCAAACGTCTTGATCTCTCCAATGAACCACATGCATTTCGAAAAAAAGATATTGCGACTATCGCACAATATTTTCCATTTCTCGAACATTTAGTTATCAATACAGTTGATTTGAACAATGTTCCTCTACTTGAAGATCACCTACCCAAACTATCCACTCTCACCTTTCGACTTCCAGAACGTTATTTTCATATATTGAATTATTTTACATCACTAGACAGCAGTTTCTCTCCATTTATTATTCGACAAGCGGAGAACTGGATTAAAATTTGGCTGGGTGACATGGCTTTCCATCAAGTATTTTGGCAAAGGTTTACCAAGATTTAATCGAGACCAGTGATGCCTTTTCGTGTTTATCTTTATAAATAAATTCTCTTTTTTTTATTGCTAAGTATAAAATAACACATATGAACAGTTTCCTATAATGTATATTCTAGGATTGATATTTACTACAATTTCTTCCACCAATGTTTTCTTTTTACACGCTTAACAATAACTTGTGGCGGTATACTTTCCAGAGTATTTATTCGATGTTGCATATTCTGAATCTCTTGAGAATGGTTTTGATCCTCTCGGATCATTTCATCTTTTAAGCATTCGAATTCTTTCTGTCGCTGTTCTTCTGCAGCTTTGAATTCGCGATCTTTTTTAGCAATTTCATCTCTCAAAGAGTTGATTTCATTTTCAAGCTTCTCTTGTGCAGCCTTTGATTCCGCCTTCAACTTGGCGATGGTATCGACGTGTAGCTGGATATCACCTTCTTTTTTATGTAATTCTGGCGTAGATCGACCGATGATAAACTCAATCAATTTCGTACGAACTCTATTGCATTCGTCATGATTTTTGTTGTCGATTCGATCCAGAAAGCAAACTTTGAGATCAGGAATCTTCAACAAACGTTCCAGACTGACGGTCACGGTTGCTTCATAGTTTTCTGATCGACGCGGCGGTAAATCATTAACAATCAGTACTAGTGATTGCGGCTTAAATTTGAATGCTTGATGAAGTGCATTGAACGCAACGAGATCCTCATCACGCATTCGGCCACCGCTTCCGCCAACGAAAATGAAAACTACTACTGAATTCGGACGTTGTTCAAATGCCTTGTAAATCTCTCGTTTGTTTCGATCAATAGCAGTTTGATCGCCTTCAATCAAGCCAGGAATGTTGAAGACAGCATAGGATTCATCACCATCGACGAAAGTTTCAAACTCCGTTTCATGTGTGACGGAGTTTGAATTGCATTCATTTTTGAATGCGTCACGGCCAAGTAGAATATTACCTAAGAACGACTTGCCGGCACCAGTATTACCCAACAGAATGATGCCAATCTGTGAGCCACCTTTGTTATTACTACGATTAGCACAGGATGCAGCCATTGTTATTCGAGTGAATTATATTATTAACGGATTGTATGAGAAGAACGAATAGAATATAATGTGTGTTATGTATTTATATATCAGTTCGTATATAGATTAAGACGAAGAATAGACAGTATATCATCACTTCCTAGTTTGCTTTACCGTCTTAGTTTGTGCTTCTGATATCAAAAGATTAGAACGATATGCTTCTGCCGCTCTTTCTCATCGTCTTACGTCATGTTTCGTTATACGGTAGATGTGACTTTCGCGTTTGGAAGAAACCAAATGAAAACATAAATAAATATTACTCACGAACTTCTAATATTTTGTCTATACTTACTTAACCAAGCTGCAAGAAATACATGCGAACATACAAAGCGAGATTAATAAAGAATCCTTTTTTATTTGGTAATTTTGGCGTTAAAAAATGTTTCCTCGGTAGTGTGTTATTCAAACATAGCTTGAGAAGTGACTCAGAGAAAAACATCGATAAGAAGATCATGACAGAAGAGTGGCAAATTCACGCTCTCACACAAAAGGTAAACGGTGACATTGAAGATAGATATAAAGGTCTTTCTTTCTTTGTTCGGACTCAATTTTATATTATTCAAAGCTAATTACGAAAAGCATACACAACATTCATTTGGTTTTCTTCATGCGAAGCAACTGAATATAAGCTAAAACTAGGAAACCTAACATGAGTCCTGCTAATGCTACGAAATTCTTCCAGAGATCCCAGTCGGTCGATGCATCAATATTCTGTTGTTTCAAAATGTCTGACCCATCGATATTACAGGTATTTGTGTCATTTGGTAAACACAGTTTTAAATCGGTAAACTCATTAATGGAAAATAAATTCGTGGAGTATCGAAAGATACTAATCCATTTAATCCAGGAAAGAAATTCCGTCACCGATGTTACTTCTACAAGAAATCCACTGAAAATCAACGTCAGCACGCAATACATGGCAGCGAGTAGATTGGCCACAGCTAAAACGAATACGTCAATTGCAAGTAATTTGAAAGAGAGATGTTTCCTACCGTAAACTCGTACACTCGCCGAAACTAAAAAACAGAATGACGAGGCACACAGCGAAGTCATATAGATGCCCAGGAAAAAGATAAAGAACTTCGTTACTTGTCTCTGGAATCCAATCATAAAATACGCAATGGATGAGAAGAATATCGTTGGAATCGTTCGTAGTGGAACAATATCACAAAGAATTTTTGCGAGAAAATATGTCGACACATGATAGTAGCCACTGACATTTTCATGTTGAAATAGTGGACGCTCTTTAATGAACAGATCGAGCGCCGAGAGACTGCCGAAGACTTGATTCGTAACAATGAAAAATATCGCACCAAGACGATTTTTCACACCCGTATCAACAGAATGATCCATTTTAATGTAGATCAAACCGATGAGTATACCTAGGAAGATCGAGACACCTGTTTGCATACCGATTAATGCGGGATTTCGAAATGCATTCCGAAGCGCTCGTTGTGCAACATAAAACACTTCGGCTAGACGAGATTTCTTTGGCACTTGTGATGTCCCATACGTCGTTGCTTCAGGAGAATTGGCCAACGAACCCAACTCGGCGATTTCTTGTTTCATCATTGTACGCAAGGTCGATTTTTCATAATTATCGTATAAATATTGGTCGATTTGCTGTGCCTGTTTATCGGGATCACTAGCTTCCTGGATATTCGACGACGGAAGATTAAGTGGATAATCGCCTTGACAAACATCAAGAAGAAAATCCGCAGGGTTATTGTGATTCTCGCATTGAAAACCGATGGAGTCAAAATATGAAAGAACAGATTGACTGGGCCCGTGGTAAATACAACGACCAGCAGCAACAAGAAACAAAGTGTCGAACAATCTGAAGATTGAATAGCGTGGTTGATGGATGGAGAAAATAATTGTTCCTAAACACGAGCGAATGAGACGATCGAATGGCGCGAATAGAACTACCTACGGCCTTTTCTGGATAACTTTTGTAGATATGCCATTACATTGCGAGCTGTGGATGAATCCAATCCGGTGGTTGGTTCATCTAAAAAGAGCACTCGTGGTGAGAGCACCAATTCCATGCCAATATTCGTTCGTCTTCGTTCACCACCGGAAATTCCGCGCCGTAATTCAGTCCCCACTCTCCTATCCGCACATTTCTCCAAACCCAGTTGTTCGATAACTTCATTGACAATTGCCAGCTTCTCATGCGACGAAACTTTTCGAGACATTCGAGTATTAGCCGAGAAAAGCAGATTTTCTCGTACGGTTAAATTACCACTGATAATATCATCTTGAACGACATAACCCACCCGATATTTGAAATCAACTGTCTGCACTTGCCCATCAATCAACACTTGTCCTTCAAGACCGTGACGGTCTTTTCGATCGGCAAGAATATCCAGTAATGACGATTTTCCACTTCCTGTCGGTCCAAGAATCGCATTCATACCTGGTTTAAACACTCCTGATATATCGTAAAGAATCTGTTGTTGATGTATTTTCGAACACNATCTGTTGGGCTCATCGATCACAACTCTGTTGACAATGACATTGTTTGGAATGAAGTATTTTGTGTATCTTTCGACTCAGATATCAACATGGCAGAACCGAGTATTGTTAGAAGCTCAGTGTCATTCATTAGATTTCGTTCTTCGTATATGTGTGAACATGGACCAATGGTTGGATGCATGTGTGTCGATGGAGAGAGCGATGACAGCTATTCAAGGTGCTACATTTATGAAGGCAAAAAGTAAAGCGGTAGCCAAGAAAGTGATGATCTATCTTTTGATATTTATCACATTGACAACAATACATGATGCGATTCATCGACGTTTGTTTGAAGAGAAGGACAATGATAATAAAAATATGATTAGAATCTGGTGTATTGTTAAATATTCATCAAGTGTACAGATGTATAATCGAATTGTGAATACATTTCACTTTTTCGTTCCGTTTCTCATTAATTTGATTTCGATTATTATTCTGATCATTAAACAAACCCGTCGACAATCTCGTTTGAAAAGGCAGCGATCATACCGAGGTATACTGCGTCAAGAAATCGTCGGACATCAACATTTATTGATTGCACCTGTGGTTCTCTTCCTTCTTGCGTTACCGCGTTTAATTCTTTCGTATAGTACGAGATGCATGAATTCAGCAAGTGATGCTTGGTTATTTTTGAGTGGATATTTTCTTTCATTTATTCCGCCGATGATTGTTTTTCTAATCTTTGTTTTACCGTCGAAATACTACAGAGACGAATGCAAAAAGTCAATTCGTAGGAGATCAAATGCGATCTATCCTCTTTTTCTGTAATATCCTACGTAGCTATGCTTGTTTTTTTTCTCTTCTGGTGTGAATAATGTTGAATCGGGAGTTACTACTCGGTTCTTCACCTGTCAATAATAAACGTAATAAATATTGTTAGTTGATACGTGACAGAATTTAATTAATAGCGCAGAATGATACACTCTGTGCTTCTTGGTAAAGAGGAACTAATTAAGTATTGTATATTTGATATCCAGATAATGATAATCACCTCATCTTTCATCTACTTGGCTGAATGAGTAAAAAACGAGAATATAAGCTCACATACATGTGCCTCTGAACTGAACGATGTGGACCAAAGATGAACTAGTTCGTTTTCAGCAAAATCTATTTATTATTTCCATTCCTATTATCATTATTACTGGTAACATTGGTTCAATTTTGAATGTCATTGTATTCTCGGGTAGTACTAAACTTCGTGCAAGCCCTTGCTCACTATATTTAATATTTTCTTCAATTTGTTATGCTGTTTATTTGAACACCGTTCCTCTGCTAAGATTTCTTCAAACTGGTTTCAATATCGATCTATCTGCGCAATGGTCATGGTTTTGTAAATTGCGTTTCTTCACTATAGGTTTATTTCTGATGCTACCTCGATCGTACATGTTATTAGCAGCTGTCGACAGGTAGAGAATACGTTCAACTATATGACTATCAATCCACTGAAGACTTTTTTTGCATAGGTATCTTATGAGTAAAACAAATCATCATTGGTTTTTACGCCGTCCGACGACGTGGAAAATGATAATAATAAATTACTTATTTTGGGCAATCGTATGCGTTCATGACTTGATCTTTTATGATATTCAAATATCCTACAATAGCACAGACCGTACTTGTACATACCAACCGGGTCCATATTCGACATTTTTGAGTTTCTATTCCATACTAATCAATGGAATATCAATGCCATTATTAACAGCAATATTTGCCTTTTTAACACTTCAAAATTTGAAGTCTCTTCGCAAGAAAATTCATACAAGTATCATCAATAACTTTCAACGAAGGAGAAAAGAAGAATGGCTTTTGTGTCGCATGCTTCTCATCCAATTATTTGCTACAATTGTATTAACCTTACCTATTACAAGTGTTTTATGTTATAATGGCTTAACACAATATCAGCAAAAATCTTCATTTCGAACATTTGTTGAAAATTATATCTTTCAAATGTGCACTCTTTTACAGTACATTAATGCAGCGGTAGGAGTCATCGAGTTTAAATCAGAATTAGAAGACAACTATTAACTACTTTTCAGGTCTCATTCATTGTTTATTCGTTAACATCTCGAATATTCTGCAAAGAACTAGTTTTGCTCGTGAAATATTATACAGTTCGAATTCGACAAACTCTTCGTGAACACTCAGCGGCACTTTTTACACGACTGAGTCATTCTTGTATGCTGTAGAGAAAAAAATTAACAACACGTGCTTTTTTTGTGAGTATAAAAAGAAATATACACTTTTACATTGACGAGCATCATATAAAAACGTTACGTTTGAAGGAAGATACGGATACCCAAATGAGTATCACTGACGATAAAGGTGTCGCAGCTTGTTCTGTGCTTGATTCTGATTTCTTAAATTATCGCATTGCAACTTACACTGATTGCTATTCATTAGCGACGTTTATAAACAGCAGCTGTCGTGACGAAATATCGAATCACGGTTAGGCAAATGGACACGTTCGCTGTGCGTCCAGATTCGCAAAACCGAGGCTATGAAAAGTATGCTGTAAGTAAATAAGATGTTGATTATAGCGAGTTCAAGGTGATAATTCAACGATCTGAATTACTCGCCTATTATATCGATACAGGTGATCATGAAACATTTTCCATGGAATAATTGAAGTTCGTCGGTACATCATTCTATGATTTAGAACATTGGATTATGATCAAACGCGTGATGAAGGGTGGTGACGTATACAATTAGTTATGACTCGCATGTTGATGTAAAAGGAAAGGAAAAATAAATAAATATGTTTGTTAGTTTAAGATATAAAGAGAGCTCATGACACTTTCAAAGCTCGAATCGCTTCCCAACGAAATTCTACTCGATCTTTTCGAGAATTACATCGATGGAATCGATCTTCTTACTGTGTTTCTTCATCAACTCAATGAACGCTTTGATGCATTGCTGAGTCAGACTCGAATTCATTTCAATTTCATTGGTTGCCATTTGGACACGTTTCGTTATTCGTTACATCTTCTTCCGGATTATGCCAATAGAATAACAAAATTAGCTTTATCTGAACGCGACACACCTGGTCAAGTCAATATGTTTTTTGCCTGTTTTCCATCATTCGCACCTTTTGAACGACTTCATTCACTTTACATTTATTGCAGTGGACAAGGAATTAATTCAAAGTCGGTGCAAACTGCTATTCTAACATTAGTCGATACTAAAATCGAAACGTTGACGATTAAAATGATCAAAGGATCATATTTTCCTTCGTGGATAACCGTTATTTCGACTATATTCACATTTACCACATTGCGACGACTATCACTGGCTTTTCCTCAGCGCTATGCCACTTGGAAAGCACAATTAACTACTTTATTAAACATCGAACACTTGACCATCACAGGTTTACAGTGCGACTGGAATACACTGGTATCCTTCTCACGATACATCCCTCATCTGGAATGTCTTAATATCGATGTAGATGATCATTTCTTCTCACCATTAGCAACACATTATCAATTCCTGCCAATGCTCAAACTACGCGCACTTTCCCTGTACTTTTGCAATGGCAATACCACCGGTGTATTGCGACACTATTTTGACTATACACCTGCTCTCTATCGTTTAACAGTAGACGGGCCTGATACATTTTTCGAGCCTGAGCCTTGGCAAACGTTAATCGAAACATCATTACCACGACTAAGGCACTTTACTTTGACTACAAGTATAGTTCGTACCAGACATCAGTTAAATATCTATCCCACGAATTTATTGACATTATATAACAATCCATTTTGGATGACGAAGTTGAATTTCAATATTATTGTTATAGATCATGAAGTGCAAGGTCACTATGAGAATACCGTCAGTGACATATGTGACAGTGGAAATGATGTTTTCCGAGCTGATGTCAGTCACCGCCCGGTCGTTCAATGGTGGACTGCAGGCAAACAAAATTCACATGATCATGTTTATTGTTTAAATACAATTACACGGCTATGCATTTCCTCCTTGCCTGACTCGTCTTCTCAACAGTATTATTTTAAGAATGTCACATTTCTCGCCTTGTACAATCTAAATTCAAGATTAGTGGAATGGGTACTGAATTGTGTGAATTGTTCGAAAATCAGAGAACTTGTTATTTCGTTCTCCGACAAGGAAACTAAGGCAATAAACTTGCTTTTACAATCCACTGTGAACATTCAGTCATTAAAAATCGACTTCGATCATTTGATTCCTGATCGTGGTGCATCCATTCGGCGAAATATTCATCTTAAACGTCTTGATCTCTCGGATGGACCACATGCATTCCGAAAAAAAGATATTGTGACTATCGCGCAATATTTTCCATTTCTCGAACACTTAGTTATCAATACAGTTGATTTAAACAATGTTCCTCTACTTGAAGATCACCTACCCAAACTATCCACTCTCACCTTTCGACTTCCGGAACGTTATTTTCATATATTGAATTATTTTACATCACTAGACAGCCATTTCCCTCCATTTATTCTTCAACAAGCCGAGAACTGGATTAAAATTTGGCTGGGTGACATGGCTTTCCATCAAGTATTTTGGCAAAGGTTTACCAAGATTTAATCGACACCTGTGATATTTTTTCGTGTTTATCTTTATAAATAAATCCTCTTTTTTATTACTAAGTAATATAAAATAATACATATGAGTAGTTTCCTATAAAATGTATTCAAGGCAATAATTCACATTGATATGTGCTACAATTTCTTCCACCAATGTTTTCTTTTTACATGCTTAACAATAACTTGTGGCGGTATACTTTCCAGAGTATTTATTCGATGTTGCATACTCTGAATCTCTTGAGAATGGTTTTGATCCTTTCGTTTCATTTCATCTTTCAAGTGTTCGAATTCTTTTTGTCGTTGTTCTTCTGCAGCTTTGAATTCGCGATCTTTGTCAGCAATTACATCTCTCAAAGAGTTGATTTCATTTTCAAGCTTCTCTTGTGCAGCCTTTGATTCCACCTTCAACTTGGCGATGGTATCAACATGTAGCTGGATATCACCTTCTTTCTTATGTAATTCTGGCGTAGATCGACCGATAATAAATTCAATCAATTTCGTACGAACTCTATTGCATTCGTCATGATTTTTGTTGTCGATTCGATCCAGAAAGCAAACTTTGAGATTAGAGATCTTCAACAAACGTTCCAGACTGACGGTCACGGTTGCTTCATAGTTTTCTGATCGACGCGGCGGTAAATCATTTACAATTAGTACTAATGATTGCGGCTTAAATTTGAATGCTTGATGAAGTGCATTGAACGCAACGAGATCCTCATCACGCATTCGGCCACTACTTCCGCCAACGAAAATGAAAACTACCACTGAATTCGGACGTTGTTCAAATGCTTTGTAGATTTCTCGTTTGTTTCGATCAATAGCAGTTTGATCGCCTTCAATCAGGCCAGGAATGTTGAAGACGGCATAGGATTCATCATCATTGACGAATGTCTCAAACTCCGTTTCATGTGTGACGGAGTTTGGATTGCATTCATTTTTGAATGCGTCACGGCCGAGTAGAATATTACCTAAGAACGACTTGCCGGCACCAGTATTACCCAACAGAATGATGCCAATCTGTGAGCCACCTTTGTTATTATTGGAATTAGCACAGGATGCAGCCATTAATATTCGAATGAAATATTATTAACAGATTGTATGAGAAGAATGAATAGAATCTGATGTGTCTTGCGTATTTATATATTAGTTCGTATATAGATAAAGACGAAGAGTAGATAGTATATTGTCACTTCCTAGTTCTTTTTTCCGTCTTATTTTGTGTTTCTGATAAAAGAATTAGAACGATACGCACCTGTCGCTCTTTCTCATCCTCTTATATCATGTTTCGTTATGCAGAAGATGTGACTTTCGCGTTTGGAAGAAACCAAATGAAATTATAAATATTACTCACGAATTTCTAATCTTTTATCCATACTTACATAACCAAGCTGTAAGAAATATATGCGGGCATACGAAGCGAGATTAATAAAAGCTTCTTTTTTATTTGGTAATTTTGGCGTTAAAAATGTTTCCCCGGTTGTGTGTTATTCAAACGTAGCTTGAGAAGTTACTCATAGAAAAACATCGATAAGAAGACCATGACAGAAGAGTGGCAAATTCACGCTCAGACACAAACGATAAACGGTGACATTGAAGATAGATATAAATGTCTTTCTTTCTTTGGTTGTATTCAATTTTATATTTATTTATGTGTATCTCATCGCATTTACGTAGTAAAAATTCAAAACTAATTACGAAAAAGTTTACACAGAATTCATTTGGTTTTCTTCATGCGAAGTAACTGAATATAAGTTAAAAATAGGAAACCTAACATGAGTCCTGCTAATGCTACGAAATTCTTCCAGAGATCCCAGTCGGTCGATGCATCAATATTCTGTTGTTTCAAAATTTCTGACCCATCAATGTTACAGGTATTTGTATCATTTGGTAAACACAGTTTTAAATCGGTAAACTCATTAATGGAAAATAAATTCGTGGAGTATCGAAAGATGCTAATCCATTTAATCCAGGAAAGAAATTCCGTCACCGATGTTACTTCTACAAGAAATCCACTGAAAATCAACGTCAGAACACAATACATGGCAGCGAGTAGATTGGCCACAGCTAAAACGAATACGTCAATTGCAAGTCATTTGAAAGGGAGATGTTTCCTACCGTAAACTCGTACACTCGCCGAAACTAAAAAGCAGAATGATGAGGCACAAAGCGAAGTCATGTAGATGCCCAGGAAAAATATAAAGAACTTCGTTACTTGTCTCTGGAATCCAATCATAAAATACGCGATTGACGAGAAGAATATTGTTGGAATCGTTCGTAGTGGAATAATATCACAAAGAATTTTTGCGAGAAAATATGTCGACACATGGTAGTAGCCACTGACATTTTCGTGTTGAAATAGTGGACGCTCTTTGATGAAGAGATCGAGCGCGGAGAGACTGCCGAAGATTTGATTGGTAACAATAAAAAATATCGCACCGAGACGATTTTTCACACCCGTATCGACCGAACGATCCATTTGAATGTAGATCAATCCGATGAGTATACCGAGAAAGATCGAGACACCTGTTTGCATACCGATTAATGCGGGATTTCGAAATGCATTCCGAAGCGTTCGTTGTGCAACATAAAACACTTCGGCTAGACGAGATTTTTTTGGCACTTGTGATGCTCCATAAGTCGTTGCTTCAGGAGAATTGGCCGACGAACCCAACTCGGCAATTTCTTGTTTGATCATCGTACACAAGGTCGACTTTTTATAATTATCGTATAAATATTGGTCGATTTGCTGTGCCTGTTTATCAGGATCACTAGCTTCCTGAATATTCGACGACGGAAGATTAAGTGGATAATCACCTTGACAAACATCAAGAAGAAAATCCGCAGGATTATTGTGATTCTCGCATTGAAAACCGATGGAGTCAAAATATGAAAGAACAGATTGACTGGGTCCATGGTAAATACAACGACCAGCAGCAACAAGAAACAAAGTGTCGAACAATCTGAAGATTGAATAGCGTGGTTGATGAATGGAGAAAATAATTGTTCCTAAACACGAGCGAATGAGAGGATCGAATGGCATGAATAGAACTACATACGGCCTTTCCTGGATAACTTTTGCAGATATACCATTACATTGCGAGCTGTGGATGAATCCAACCCGGTAGTTGGTTCATCTAAAAAGAGCACTCGAGGTGAGAGTACCAATTCCATACCAATATTCGTTCGTCTTCGTTCACCACCGGAAATTCCCCGCCGTAGTTCAGTCCCCACTTTCCTATTCGCACATTTCTCCAAACCCAATTGCTCGATAACTTCATTAACAATTGCCAGCTTCTCATGGGACGAAACTTTTCGAGACATTCGAGTATTAGCCGAGAACAGTAGATTCTCTCGCACGGTTAAGTTACCACTGATAATATCATCTTGAACAACATAACCCACCCGATACTTGAAATCAAATGTCTGCACTTGTCCATCAATCAATACTTGTCCTTCAAGACCGTGACGGTCTTTTCGATCGGCAAGAATATCCAATAATGACGATTTTCCACTTCCTGTCGGTCCAAGAATCGCATTCATACCTGGTTTAAACACTCCTGATATATCGTAAAGAATCTGTTGTTGATGTATTTTCGAACACGGTTTTGGAATACAATTGCAGCATGTCGGATGGGGTAAAACGTAATTAATTGCCTGAAAACTTATGGTCGAACCATAGCTGTTATCCGTTGAATGTGTCGGTACCGAACCATGTTCGACGTCTGTAGGTAAAATTTGACTAATCATAAATTCTTTCAGAAAAAATAAAAGAAAAAGTCCTGATGTGAGTATATATAATAGTGTTATCGGTGTGTTACATAAGAGAATAGAGGAGCATGCAAAAAGGAAAGGTGACAGTATGTTCTGTGTTCTTTTTCTCGTTGTTATGTAAGATGAAGGGCAATATTTATTTTGTCGGTTACATAAGATGTAGAATTTTATGATATTTATAATCGTGAAGATACTGAAGGATTATTTTTGATAAACTTGATCAGATGTTCGACGATTTCGTGTGGTTTATCTTCTTGTAAGAAATGTCCAGCTTCGGTAATTGTCGTATGTGGTTGATTTTTGGTGCCTGGAATCATTGATTGCAGAGCTTTGTCAAGACCAGCTGTGATCGGATCAGAATCCGAGAAAAGTGTTAGAAAAGGTCGATGGAAATTCTTCAAATTCTTCCATGCTTGACGATTGTATTCCGATGATGGATTCTCCGGAGTGATGGGAACTAACAATGGAAACATTAAAGCACCTGCTTGATATTTCTCATTTGGAAATGGAGCATTGTACGCATCCATTTCTTCCGGTTTCATGTCTTTGACCACTCCGAACTTGATTACGTTGCCGACATCCATTTCTGTCTGCTGTGCTGCAAAATTGCGCCATTGAAGAAAACCTTGTGAAACTTTTCCATCACCAGTAGGTAATCCACCATTAGCAACGGCAACTCGAGCAAAACGATCACCGACTCCGTCCGTTCCAACCAATTGTAATCCAATTAAAGAACCCCAATCCTACGTTTCAGATATTTGAAATTAATCGTCTACGAGGAAAGCGTGTTACCTGACAAAACAATGTAATATTGTTTAAATTCAATTTTTCAATAAACTCTCGTATCCAATCCACATGTCTTTGATAAGTATAATCTTCTTTGTTAACTGGTTTATCCGATTTTCCAAATCCAATCAAATCAACTGCAATAACTCGATACTGACTTAAAGCTGGAACGAAATGACGATACAAATAACTCCAGCTTGGCTCGCCATGTAACAATAAAATCGTCTCCGGACTATTCTTGTTTCCTTCGTCTAGATAATGTAAACGTAATTTTGTTCGGCCATTACCGATCGAGCCTGGATTTGCTAAATCAATATAGTTTGGTCGAAATGGGTAATCTAAAAGATTATTAAATGCCGATTCGGGAGTACGTAAAATTCCCGTATCTGTTGACATTATATCTGAAAATGAAGTTTTCGTACTCGCTTCTTATCGGTATTCTTTACTTATATGTGACTTTGTTAACGAAAACGACGAAAACGTGTCTTTTACCTTTTTTCTCTTTCGTTCTGTATAACAAATAGAATTACGCATCCCATGACACCGGACTGGTTTCGAAGTGTCGCTTATGATCATTGGGCACATTCACTCGTGCATTTGGATATACGCGGTTTTCCACTTGGAATTAACTTTAATGATTGGCATAACGATGATCTCAACAATAACATTCTTCTGACCAATAAATTTGTTGTCAGTCGACTTTCATTCACGAGCAGATCAATTTTACAATTAGCAGTGAATGAATGACAAATGAAAATAATGCATTAAAAAGATAAAGGTACGTGGAAAGTTTCATTTCCACTCAAAAGAGTTCTTTCTCGTTCGAAGAGATGAGGAAACAGTAGCAAGAGGTTCTGTTAAGGTCATAAGATTTTCATTGATAAAAGTTACAATATGTTTATCGTCGACTTTGACAGTCATCGGATCCAAAGGGTTAATTTAATCCGTGAATAAAAAGAGAACAGTGTGTAGGGCCGAGAAATCAAACGATGAACGAATCCGAAAGTTACAGATATTGTATTAGTTCTTGAATAAATATAAAAGTTTGGAATATATATTTTGTTTCTGGATAAAAAATCCTTGGATGGGAAAGTCTTCAAAAAAAAAGTATTAATCTAAGAAAACTTCAAAATCAAATCATTAGAGAAGAATGAATGTTCCGATGAGATTGACGAGTGAGAACATCCATGAGATCCTTAAAATAGTACCGAGCGATGATGGAAGAACAGAACTAACGGCATCACGAATAACAAGGTCACGTGTGGACATGAGATTGTAGAGGGTATCTTGTGCGCTGACACGTACAACTGCACTCAAACCAGCGCCTGTTGAAGGTACTGTCCAACGGAAAATGGCGGTAGCAGGATTGAATGTAGCAGAGGCTGGACCTTGAACTAATGTATAAGTAATATTTGTTGTATACGGGCTGATTGCTGTGAAATTAATTGATACTGATGCGTTTGCATTAACTGTAAGAGTTAACGGCAGAGATGAATTAAATTCTGGTGCATAACGCTGATCTGCTTCGGTCTGAGCGATTGTGTTTGCAATAAGTCTTGATGCTTCTCCCAGCGATAGGTCTTTTGTTACAACTATGTCATAATAACATGTTTGCTGAGCCACAGTCCAGGTCGATTGATTTGTTGATGACGAAGCAATACCACATGTGGAACGTATTGTATTCATTTCTGATGTCGAAATTTCAGGTAATTGAAATAATGGTCTATACTGAAGAGTTTGATTTGCATAAAACAGAGCCGAATCACCGGATTCATAGTAGAAAAGTGACTGACTTGGATTGATTGTCCAAGTCTGACCGAATCCATAATGAATTTGTTCCAATGTGAGTGTACTTGGTTGACCAACAACGGTTCCATTTGGTGTACGAAGATCATTGGTGGGATCGTTATCGTATAAGCCAAGAAGACCGAATGTTCGTTGCAGATGTGCGTTTGAAACTGAAATACCAAGATTGAGTAGGAGACCATCTGTAATTGATATTGGCGTGATTTGAATACTGATTCCAATTGACCAGGAAAGTGTTAAGGCACCATTCGTTCGATTTTTCTCTAGAACGAGTTCTGGAAAAACGATGGCCAGTGAATTGTTTGATGAAATTGTATCATCAGTAGTGATATCAAGATCGAGAGTTTCATTTCCACGTCGGACAATGAGCATATTTCGTCGTGAAATCGTAATACTCATGTGTTTCGCATCGGGATGATTTGATTTCGCTGCAAAACCACGAATAACTGTCATTGTATTGCTACTTGAATTCAATGGGGCAGTGCGGATTTGCGAATTAAAAACAAGTGTTTGTGTCGATAGTGCTGAATCTTTAACTGCTAAATAAGTGTATTCACCATAGCCATTGAATGTATACGCAGTTCCATCGAGAGTGATAAAATGCGGATCACCCCACGCGCCACCGGATGGATTTCGCGTGTTACTGCCACTACGTATTGGTCGAAGACGAAAGTATGTTTCACAGTTCTCAAAATTCGAATTCAACAAACAACATCCAAGATATGGTAGGATATCACCAAAGAAATGAAGAATAGGTAACGAGCCAGGTCGATAACGATCGTCGGTTCCTGCACCTGTACCATGAGTGATCAGTTGGCCTTCGCCATCATAGCAGCATTCCGCTCCGGATTGAGCTTCATTTCGTGTCAATGATAAATAACATGCAACAGCGGACGGTTCGTCGTACCCTTCTCGGCCGCGATGAAGCGCACAATTCAAGGGTGAATTCTGATTATATTCGGAGCACAGAGGATCTACTTCATAACAACAGCGTGCCACACGTGCTTGAGACAATCTTAATGGACACAACAAGAGATTTTCATTCCATGTAGTTGGCTCGGGCTCTCCCGCTGCCCATCTTTGACAATAATCTGTTGATCCGGCCGTAGTATTATCTAGAATAAATAAAGCTGAATTCAAGCCAGCATAGGTACGATTGGTTTCCGAATCGAGTGCGACAATACGAAAGAAAATGGACTGCATGTTAGCACTACCAAGCGACGCAACTGTAACAGTTGCTGATTGTAAACCAGCGGTTGGAGCGATATTTGATTGTAGAATAGTATGAGTGTTGAGTATAATACCGCCATTTGTTTCGTTTAATATTACGCTCCACATTTCTACTTGAAGTTCAATGGTTTCATTGGGCCATGCCTTCATTGTTCTATCAGAAAGAAACCATTGCAGAGTGACTTCACTACCGACTGCAACGGTGAGTTGTGTTTGATTAACAACTATGACTTCACTATCATCGCTTGAGATCATTCCGAACTCTGTACGTGTATATGTGAATGTACTAGGAAACGCTTCGTATGTCCAACCGTCATTGACGCTTAAATAAACATTGACAAATGTGGGTAAAGGAACGGATGGAGTCAAGCACATTGCTTGGAAATCATTGATGACAATGGCATCAACTTCTAACGACTCGCCAAATCGACATTTGACAGCGGACTCACTCAAATTTGTAAAGCATGGACCTTGAATAGTAATTGCTGTTGAACCAAGTTGTGAACCACGGCGTGGTCGAAATTGCAGAGTTGAGTTTTCTCCGCAACCACCAAGAGTAACTGTATCCGTATCGATTCGAAAAGCGAATAAACCTGGAATATTGACATTACTGATTTCTGTTAGACGAACGATCTCTGCCGTTCGAGAATAGGGTAACAACTGAAAAATGACTCCATCGCCGGCATTGAAACCAGCTTGTCCGGAAATATACGTTGAACTGTTTGTATATCCGGGATTAGCCCATTGCATATCGTGGTACAGCATAAAAGCAAAACTACGTATTGAATCTGATGCTAGCACAATTTGAAACGTATTTGTTTTGTTTGTTTGTCGAGGATAAGCTCCAACCCGATACCATGTACCAGTTATGATCATTGTCGGATTGAATGAATGTTCACTGGGAAAAAACTGTTGAACGTACGATGTAGCCTTTTCGAATGCAGTTGTATTATCTTCATTGTTATATATGTGATAGAATACTTGGTTCCCTGATGGAATGTTTCCTCGCGTATCTATATCTGACCAAAATCCTGCAATAAGACGACGACCATCACTCAATGGAAACGGATCCGGCACGAAAGTTGATATCGCACCAAGAAATGAAAAGAGACCATTGTTGGCTAAATAGATTTTCCGATGGTTGTTATCGAAATAGGGAAAGTTGGCCGGTAGAGACAACGCATTTGTGCTTCCATCATCATTGGCTGGAAAGATTTCATCGCCAGCTTGTGTTCCAAATGGAAAAAATTCTTCCAGTGGAACACTATAAATCGCATTGATCATACATACAACAACCAAGACTGTTTTTAAAAACATTTTCGCTGCTCTATGAAGTGAAAATGCAGATAAGTGCTACTTGTCAGCTATTTATATGTGAAAGTACGTCATTCAATAATGATTCAGATTTTTTCACTGAAAAAAAATCATCGACGGCGAGAACTTATTCCGTTTTGGGTCTCCCCCGTGTTTCTTATGATTATGACATTACATACAATATGAAATAAATCACGAATTTTTTATTGACACAAGCGACTAGAGGCAATGTGATGAATACAAACAATTTGGCAGAATAGTAAAAGAAATCACATCAACTTTCTCTGTTATGTATTTTTGTTTTTAAAGCAAATATTCAACTACACAAAAGGCTGCGTACTGCGCATTTGGAGAATTATCCATTTCGCCCTATGTTTGTTTGCTAAATAGTCGATCCGCTACCATCGACATACATGAGAATACCCGTATCTAACATATTCAAACAGAATGGCTCTCCGTAACCTCCCTTATTAGTATTAGCCGTCCACAATATAATGTTGGCACTTGCGGTGTAAACAGCCAGGCTACGATCTCCTTGAGATACAAAGTAAGCTTAATATAAGTCGTTGATATCTGATTTGCTCTCCAAATGGCAGTTGCCGTTACGTTTTGATATTCGTACGCTTTGCACACACCAAATGGATTGTTTAGCATTCCTACAGCATAGGTACGTGACGTTGGTGAGTAAATAAACTGATTGTTATATAGAAACACACTACTAGTGACATTGGCACAAAGACAAAATGGTGGAGCTAAAAGAAATGTTGTCATTCAATTAGTGAAATTTCAATTTTCTTTTCCATTTACTCGGAATGGTGACAGTTGTTGTGGAGGTGCTAGAAGTGGTGGTTGATTCAGCTACCAAAAAACAAACGACAAATAAAAATGAAAGTTCAAGTTTTAATAAACTTATTGTTTATTTAAATTGAGATCATCGATTGATTGATGAATATGAAAGTAGCATTCACTCTGTATCCCATAAGGATCGAAGTATTATTTGAAGACAATTGTTAGCAAGTTTGATGTTGTGAAAAATAGTTGATAGCCGATACGACTGTATTCGATCTTACCATGCCGCATAAGCATTGTTCGCGAGTTAGGTTCGATAAAACGCTTATTATTGTACTAATCACGATATGGTTGTCTCTTACACCAATCTTACTTGAATTTATCAGCAACATCAAAGATAAAACTATTGTAAGCCCAAACAATTTTTTACTGCTATGATTTCTATTAAGTACTTATGAAATAACTACGTTTGTCTCACTATTTGTTTTTTTCAATGATTAACTAATCAAAAAGACTTATATTCCAAATATTATCAGAATTGAAAACGAGAATGTCATCTGGTTTTCGTATTCTTTCATATTCAAAGAAAAATTCTTATTTACAGAAAATTGTAACGATTTCTAATAGAAGAGAAGCATCCGCTAATGGCACCACGCCTTTATTTCTATCACGAATCACATTTTTTAGATACAAAAACACACAATTACATATAGAATAACCGAGACAAACACGAAACTTTTAATTTCGGTTTTTAGAAATCAAATTCAATAAATGACAACGAAATGCGAAAACTGTAGCAGGAGAAAATGGAGATGAAAAGAAATTAAATCAACTTCATTTGCCTTGTGCAATGTATCTTGATAAAAATCAAAATATTTTTTTATCACAAATGCTTACAATCATCGAATTATTCGATGAAAATTAGGTAAAACTGGAAATGGAAGTAGAATTGATCAATTGAGTGAACTGACAGATGTAATTACAGATGATGAAAGTCAATCATTGATGATTGCTGATAAAAGAAACAGAAGAGCTATCCAATGGTTATTGAATCAAAATCAACAAGAAATTCTTATTCATAACATCGATTGTTTTGGTTTAGCAAAAGACAAATAGACTTTCAGCTCTTTTTTCCGCTTGATTTTCGAACATAATCGTGAGAAGAATCAAAAGATATTTCTCTCAGATGAATAAAATGACCAGAAGAGAACGCGTGTCGCAGTTGTTCATAGTTTACATCGTATGTGTGTGTGTCGTTATTATCAGTAACACAAAATCAAAATTGAGAAGCATCTGTTTCATTGTGAAAAGAACATACGAATGAATGTCACCAAACCAATTTATATAAAACTCATCTCGATGATTCTTTTTTCACGGCAATTAAGTCTGAATTCGAACATTCTTCGATAATGACTCACAACATTGGTTTTATAATTCGACATTTTACAAACGATATTCTTCTCAATGTTTCGACATCAGTGATTGTGAGACCAAATGGATTTTATTTCAACGATTCCAAAGAACACTTGAATGTATTCGTCACTTTAGTTCAAAATGGTGTTTATTACAATGATGCTTGTGAATGTAATTATGACGAGAGAGCTCTTCGAAGAACTTTTGTATAACAAAATCATGTTTCAGCTGTTTACGACCAACTAATCATTTACACCGTACCGGATGGATAGAGCTTTCAACATTTTCTCGATGGAATTGGATCGAAATTAGCAATTTCGAGAAAATATTTAGATCAATATCCCGATTCGAAAGTTTTGATCATGAAAGAACCAAGATTTGATCGATCTGTTCGAGAACTTTGGAATTTACTCGGTAAATGCGAAGATCAAACTGCTTTCCAACGCTCACATTATATTCGGTATTCATGGTGGAGCTTTATCAAACATCAATTTCGTTCCATCAAAAACCATTGTCACTGAAATAATGCCTTATTGATCTGATGCAACTTCGTCGTTACCCATTGTTTGTTCAAAATCTGATTCAAATAGATTCACACCGTGTAATGGATATAGTTATTATGTACAAGCGAAGCTACTCAGTCAATCTCATTGGATGTTACCATCTGTTGTTGATCAACAACACAATGTCAATGATGACATGACTAAACTTAGATTATTTTTCGATGCCTTCCGAGCGTTTAACCCTTTCAGGGTCAGCTTATTTTAAGCTGAGATTAGCCGTTCAGGTTTAAAGAAATGACTTATTTTTGCTGGATTTAACACAGTACGAACTTCAGAAAGCTTTCAAAATGTGATTTTCTTTGAAACAGTTCGGACTACATGGTGAGACACGACGCTCCGGACAGTAAAACCACGTATTGCTGCGCCCATTTTCGTCTCGCTTCACTCTACGATAAAAAACGAACAGTGACTTTTACATAATTGCCGAGAATAAACCATTCTGCAGTTCGGTCATAGCGCTTAGAGCTGCATTTTGTCTTTGATTCTTCTTAGTCTTTGACAATTTTCTATCGAAGTTCCTTGTCGGAAGCGCTTCGAGCTAATCTAATGCCAACCTGTCCTTGATTTCAGATTCTATGTCCGACCATATAAAACTGAAACGTTACTTTTCCCCCACTTCTTTTACCAGTCAAAACTACGTCAATTTGTCTTTGATTGAGCGTCCTTTTCCCTCAAGATGTCCTACAGAGAATGAAAATCGCGAAGGCCATGCTGTGACTCATACAATCTGTAAAAAGATTCGAGCAGGTGCACACATATAAGTAAAAGATATGTATAAAATTTTCCGAGATTTTAGAAAAACAGCATCAAGCAACAGAGAGAACAGGCAGTGACCTTTATGTCTTCATAGATCATAATTGGAACGCGTAAACTGTAAAAATATAATGTGAAAAATTTCAAAGTTTGACATAGAAGACCACGTAAAAATTTCAATGTCACTATAAAGTGTCATGGGTCGCAAAAGAGTTTAGGAGCGATGAGGATGTAGATGGTCTTATTTTAGTCACGCCCTCACACCACCTTCAAAAAAATGAAAAGAGTTCAACTAATAAATAAGTGTTAATTATGTAAAAAAACGCTGATATTGTTCCAAACTTCATTTGCAACAATAAGATCAGGTTTATTATCATTATTTACATCGGCTGCCACTCCTGATCTTGGACTGCCGCCAGTTGGATAGTTAATTTTAGGACGAAATGTACCATTACCGCTGTTAAGTAAAATACTGATGGTGTTCGAATCATAATTTGTCACTATTATATCAAGTTGGTTATCTTCATTTAAATCGCTTAATACTGCTGATTTTGGGCCGATGCCAACTGAATAATTAGTTGGAGAAGAAAAGGTTCCGTTACCTTTATTAAAAAGAATAGCTGTCGTGTTTGAATCATAGTTTGCAATTACAAGATCGGGTTTCGCATCGTTATTAAGATCTCCAGCCACTACTGATCTTGGATTATCACCAACTGGATATGTTTTCTGGGAAGAAAACGTGCCGTTGCCGATGTTGAGAAGAACGCCAATATTGTTTAAATCCGCATTTACAACGATAATATCTGGTTTGTTGTCACTACTAATGTCACTCACCGTTACTGCTCTTGGGAAGCTACCGACTGGATAAGTTGTTTGAGGAGAAAAAGTACCATTGCCATAGTTGCGAAGAACGCTGATATTGTCAGCATAAAGGTTTGCAACAACAATATCGGATTTGTTGTCATTGTTTGTGTCAGCAACCACTGCTGAGATTGGCTGATCGTTAACTAAATATGTTTTCTGGGAAGAAAATGTTCCATTACCAATATTAAGAAGAACACTGATGGTGTTCGAACCAAAATTGGTCACTACAATATCAAGTTGTTCGTCACTATTAAGATCAGATAATACGATCGAAGCTGGATTGGGACCAACTGAATAAGTTCTTTGCGAAGAAAAACTTCCGTTGCCTATGTTGAAAAGAATGCCAACGGTGTTCGAATCATAATTTGCTACAGCAATATCAGCTGTGCTGTCATTATTCAGATTGCCTACAGCTATAAAATATGGAGTGGCACCAGCTGAGTAAGTTCTTTGATTACCAAACAGTGAGTTATTGTTGCTAACTATTACAAAGAAACTATTTTTTTATATTCGTATTGAGGATGTGTTGTTAAATGATTTAACAACAGATTGTCAAAAAATACAAATTACAAAGCGAATTGATATAGATAAGAAATATATGATAGATGACGATTAAAACGTTTTCAGTTTGAAAGTAAGAATCTCTATAGAATAATTCTAAATATTTAGTCACTCACACGAGTTTTCTAATATCTTTTTTTTTCACTCGTCTATATGTTTTCCGTTGAACTTACCATTGCGTGTTGTTGTTGATATAACTGTCTGATTAATATATATCAAACAAGAATTTAAATTAACTTTTATCACAATTGAACTATTCCCAGATCGAAATAATTGACAAGTCCGATTGGATGAAAAATAATTTACTCCCGAAATCAATCCATTGGATTTCAACATTTCACATATACATTCATTTTGTGTTAAATTGAATAATGACATATTTGGTATACCCATTCTTATACCATTATTTATTTTATTGAGGAAAATTGATTCATTGACAGAAAAAACCGACAGAAGAAAGGCGATGCGGAACATTTTTGATGGCGCTTGTTTCACTGAATTTGTTTGATAACTGATGAGAAAAAAAGATTTTTTCATAGGAGTATGTTTTTAAATTTTATTCGACTTTTCAAGCCATGGAAATATTTGCTAAAAGGTACCAATTGTTCTTAGACAAACTAGGTTTTTTGTCACATTGTCTTTGAAAACATTTGTTGAGTACTATAAAAGAAAAAGCTTTTAGTGAGAAATAAACAGTGTTTTCAATGACAAAGTGCGTCATATAGAGTAAAGTGCGCGGAATATCTGCTTTTTCTTTCTAAGCGCCCTATGTTGTCCTCCTCAATAAGAAAATAAAGTGTGCACTGTGGCCTGCATGTTTTTTTCGAACAACTCTTTTAAATTATCACTGACATTCAAATAAGTACATATTAGCATGAGTATTTTTTCAGTTGTTTTCCATGAAGATTGATTATACTTAATCTATTTCATTTATTTCTGTTTATTAAACTTTGAAATGAAAACGTTTACAAAGAAGATCTTAATTGCATTCAATATTCTTTTGCTTTCTAAATTATGCACTCTGCGTAAAATTTCTCGAACACTTTAGAATGCACGAAAGAATTAGATTAAAAATAAAGTACCAAAAATACTCATTTAGAAACACTGGAAATAAAAATTTGTTTAAATAATGTATTCAATTAGCACCCGTGTTATTGTCTACAAACGTAGAATACCTGAGGGTATGATTCGACATTTTCTTGGACGAATTTGTTTCAGCGTAGGTTTCAATCGAACCAACTACAACTTGATGAGCTCTATCGGTTCCAATCATAAAAAATTTTCACCCCACCCACACCCACCCGAATATCTTTTGGCTGAATTTTGTTTGAAGACTAGCGCGTGCTAGATAATTGAAGAACTCATTCTGTGTATAACATCCTTTCTGCAGTGTCGGACGCAAAAACACATGCTTCGCTTTTCTTTTTCTTTGGTATGAATCATTCGTGATATAACGTAGGCTACAAGAGCAAATGTATTGCTGCTGCAAGGTGTTTCACTGCCTGATGTAATGCATTTCGGGGACATGGCTTAATGGTAGAGCATTCGACTGCAGATCGACCGATTCCCGGTTCGATTCCGGGTGTCCCTTTTTTTTGCAACTTCCTCTCTAATTATAATTTAATTCTCCAACACGTTTTGTTCTTCAATTCGTATTATAAGTCGATGTTTCTCTATTGAAAAAAAGAAAACCACATATGTTGCCATCTAAAAATATTCTTTCGTTTCACAAACACATTGATAGTATTCACTTGAATCGATTATGCTACGCAAAGAACTGCTTCATATGCCGTTGGAAAACGGTGTTCGGATTGCTTATCGTCTATCACATTCGATTGATACATCATTGCCAAGCATTGTTATGCATCATGCTTTCTTAATGAATTCTCGATTTTATGATCAACAATTTAAAGATAGTCGATATTCAAATTATAATCTCATATCAATCGATGCACATGGTCATGGTGAAACAATCGGTCGTGGGAACGACTTTACATTCTGGGACTCGGCTGCCGATTCATTACAGCTTCTTACCAAACTTGGTATTGATCAGTTTTACACTATGGGGACTACACAAGGTGGTTTTATTGCTTTGCGCATGGCACTACTGGAACCTAATCGAATGAAAGGTTTGATATTACTATCTACATCGGTTTATGCAACACCGCAACAGCTCAAAACTTACATGCGAGCATCTCGCGATCAATGGTGCAGAACAAAAATTCCTTCCGATGAAGCAATGTTGGTACGAGCAGCATCTTTTGGTGGACCTACACGTGTCAGTAGAAAAGTATTCAGAAAAATTCAAGATATGTGGATTCAACGGTATGCAGGTGCTGAATGTTATGATCCAGCATTGAATTGTCTTCTCAATCGCGAAGCAATTGATGATCAACTGGAGAAAATCACTATGCCAACGTTAGTTTTACACGGAACCGAAGATCGTATATTTACAGTTGAAGAAGCGCAAACATGGACATCGAAATTACCTAATTTATGGAAATTCGTAATTGTCGAACGCGGTGTTCATCATCTTTCTTTAACAGAACCCGGCATCGAAGTAGCTGCTCAATTAATTCCTCAATTTATCAATGAAACATCGTAAGGATAAACTTTTTTTTTATTAAATTAAAATATCATCGATCCATCATCAAATACTCTCGAAATGTAACGAGCAATTCGTTCTGGTCCGAGTTTGTTAATCACACTTTGTCGAATAGTTGCATAAAGATCGCTATTCAAAGTAATACTTTCATATGCGATCTGAATGTTCGCTGTATTTTTAGCAAATTCATGTAGCAAGAAGATATCGTTGCCAATACTTTCTGAAGTTGTCAGTATTACATACAATTGAAGAACAGACACATCACCAGCTTTTTCATCGACTATCTGCACCTGAATGTTATAAGTATTGCCGTCACTTGAATCTTTGGTGAATTCTACAATTACAGGATCATCAGCTTTCATTTGTTGGAATCGTTCGAAACTACGACTTAAGATATTCTGTAATTCAGGATTGATTCGGTTGGCTAATGATGTTGTGATAACCGATTTGAGAGAAACACGGTCAGTGCTCGGAGTGAATGGTGTAAATTTTGCAGAGGACGACACAATCCAAGCAAGAATTGATAAAGTTTGTTCGTATACTTGATACCATGACGAAATTGCTGATCGAGGTGCTTTCGCATCAGCGGCTAACTGAATAAGTAGATGTGAATAGAGCACATCTTGTTTAGATTGATTTGTGACTGATCCACTTATTATATGTAATTGACCGGCATCCATGTAACTGGCTCTACCTTGATTATAACTGATGCCACTTTGAGCATTAGTCAAAGCACAAAATGTGACAGTGAGCAATAACAGATATAACAGCATGTTGTAGAATGTAATTGTTTTATAACAATGAAACGTATGTATACAGAAATGAGGATATTTGTATGAGAAAATGGAAAGAGAAATACAATACTAAGCGCTGTGTTGATATAAAAGAGAGGATTAACGGTATATTTCAAGGCTTATTCCTTTCGGAAAGCTATTAAAATGGAATGAATCAACACTAATACTGATTTAAAACCATGACGTAGATGTTTTTCGTACTGTAGATGGTTATCACTATGGCTTGACCATTATTTCTCGAATTATAGAATGTACGATATATAGGTTCGTAAAATAATATTGAATAAACGTAGAGGTGAATCTTCTATTCGATTGCCTTTGTAGTATTATACGACCGATACATGAAAACAATGAACTTTTCCATTATTGCATTCTCACATGACGACTAATATTTCTCCTGCTGTTTCTGATGTCTCCGATAGTAACATAAATGTCGAACTCATACGAATTTGAATTAAAGAATTCAAATGATGCTTTAGAAAATACTCATTACAGTCCAATACCGAGCTTTTCCTATTATATGTATATAATGATGACGTTAATTGGCTTCTGGTGTCTTTCTCATCTCTATGTAAATTTCTCTCAAGTTCACCATCAGAGTTTAATTTTTCGACATGTTCACAAATCATGTATATATATAGGACATGAAGGATACTGTCAAGATTTCTAGTGGTTCACTATCTATACTTAAACTAAGCTTCACAATTCTTCAACTATTAGGTAAGATTCATGAGAGGTATACACGACTGGTTAACGACCATGTTGCATTTCAAAACGGCTGCTTTCTTATTTTGTCTGTGTTTTACCGATCTCGTCTCAGTCTGTATTTATACGTTCAATCGTATGTACTGGCATATAGCTACAGTACGCTGATCAAATCCTTGCCATTTACGTAGGGATTCTCGCATTTATAATCGGTATTTTCCTTAACCTTTGACTTTATTTCGAAACAAATATCGTATGTTATGAATCAATGGCAAAGAAAACGTTAAATGATTCCAATCAAATGACTTTCACGATGGATGTACAATTTCAAGCGCTTGCTCATTAGAAATCATGCTGCTAATGGTATGAGAGTCGAAAATGATTGACCGAAGATGAATTTCATCATTATGTGTTTTGGATCTTAATTAAACATTTTCCAGAAAATGTCATCTTTATTTGCTCTTTTATTTATTGCTTATATATCATAAAATTCACCTTTTCAACAACTATTACCGAGAATCACAATTAAAACATTTTCATCATCATGTACATGTTGTTTTACAACAATCGACACGTAGATGGAAAGAGAATGAAAAGAAAAAACGAAGTACGAGGTCAACATACTCTATAAAATAAGTCGAATTGATTGCATCGTGTAAGACAGAAAATGCAGAATGATTCGAGTACATCAGCAATATGCATTAATAGTAATGATCAGAATCCTAAAATCGGTTCAAGTATCATGCAATGGTTGAAGAAATTCGGCTGTTTCAAAGTAGAAACGCGTGGAAGTGATCGTATCTTGCCCGAAGATCGAACTGATTCTACTATCATTAATACAGCATTCATGTGGGTAAGGAATATTTTCATAGTATAATCAAATGAGAATTCTTAACGTGATGTTCCACAGATGGGTGCGAATACAATCATACCGACTTTTACTAGTGGAGTACTTGGTCCAGCAGTATTCAATTTAAATCTTTATGATTCGATCGTAACAATTCTCATTTTCAATTTACTGGGAGCTATTCCTGTTGCATGTATAGCATGTTTTGGCCCAGCATCTGGTCTGCGTACCATGCTTATTTCCCGTTATAGTTGGGGTTACTATGGTGCTTCTATCATATCATTCATCAATGTGTTTCTTTCGCTCGGTTGGGCAGCTGTGAATAGCATAACTGGAGCACAAACACTTCGTGTTGTTTTCGATGAAAGATTTCCTTTGACGATCGGAATTGTGATTATTGGTATCTTATCTTTGGCTATCTCATTTGTTGGCTACAAATGGATTCATTACTATGAACGATACTCGTGGATACCAGTCTTTGTTGGATACTGTATATTAGCAGGAGTTGGTGCAAAGTATTTTACTTTGTCTGAACCGGTAATATTCCGATCTATGAGTAACATGTTCACACATTTGCTTTGACAGACATCGCTGAATACAACAATAGTAGATTATCGTTGGAAAATCTCGCATGCCCTCAGTTTTGGTTCAGTCTGTTTCGGTATTTCTTCTAGCTGGTCTGCATGTGCAGCGGATTACAATGCATACTTTCCTGAGAATACCAGTCAATTGAAAATTTTCCTTCTAACTTATTTCGGTAATTTTCTATCAATGACTCCATTGGAACTGCTTGGAGCGGCGACTTTCACAGGAACGTATACAAATTCGAATTGGAAGGCTGCATATGAAAAAGACAATGTCGGTGGATTATTCGGTGCTTGTCTATCGTCTCTGGGTATTTTCGGTAAACTGATTTTGATCCTGTTTGCATTATCGTCTGTAGCATGTAATATACCGAATATGTATTCGTTATCTTTATCTGCACAAGTCATCGCACCGGTTTTCAAATGTATCCCGCGTGTTCTGTATACTATTGTCGGTACGACAAGTTACGTTCTCCTAGCTATTATTGCTGCTTATCGATTCAACGATGTTCTGTTATCATTTATGAGTGTTACATCCTACTGGTCGGTTGTATTAATTGTTATCATATGTGAAGATCACATCTTATTTCGACGGTGCTCATTTAAAAATTATGATTTCGATATTTGGAATAATCGTCAGCAATTACCGATTAGTTTCGGGGCGATTCTCTCCGGCGTCGTCGGATGTATTGGTATTGGGCTTGGTATGTCGCAGATATGGTTAACTGGACCAATTGCAAAAGCTGTATCGGGTGAGAATAGTAGCGAAGGTGCAGATGTTGGTTTCGAAGTAGGAATTCTATTCACAGCGATTAGTTTTCCAATATTTCGATCGATTGAATTATATTTTATAAAAAAGTAAATCATTTTATTCATCCACATTCATCTCCGACTACATCGATATTCGGGAAACTACCCGTTGGCAATTCTCCACTAGGATTTTTCTTTTTATTCTTTTTACTTACTTTAATAAACAGCGACTCTGTCTTATTTAAAAGTTGTGTGACTAAATGATGCGCATCGCCAATTTTCACATCGAGATGAGCACAACAGAGGTTTTCAAACGGCCAGTCATGTAGCATATTACGCATACAATCACGAAATACGAATGGAGCATCTGCTGTTGGATGTAAACCGTGTGTTCTAATCGACGGATGAAAAATCATTACGCCACGAGTCATTCCAAACAAGCGAAGAATTGGTGTAAACTTATTCGTGTACATAATTGTATCTGTAACATGAAGTGTACTCGATGGACGATGATACATAAATACACTCATCAGATGACTAGATCCATGTTGTGGATTAATGAATTCACCACCTACAATGAAAGCTATTTTCCTTTCATACTCTTCGAACTTCTGACTCACCTGCTGTAATACGCATTTCCACATCCGGTTCCCATTTTTGTCGAACATTGCAATTATCAAGGCTTCCTAACCATGGAATCTCTGGTAATTGACGTAGGTGTCTTGGTGTGCCATAGTATGCCGCTTGAGGATACGTTTGATAAAAGTCTAGAAACGATCGTGTATGGAACGAATGTGTACCAATAACACCTTCAATTCGATTTCCATTATCAGTCAATCGATTGATTTGTTCTTTGAGATGATCGTCAAGTGCGACAGTGTCGAAAATAACAAAATTGCCGTCACTTAATCGGACGATTGACATGTGTGTTCCGACATCGACTTTTTGAGCGAACATTCGGAATCGACCACGAACATTCCAGAACCCGGGACCAATTTCATATAACTCGTTTTTCCGTTGAATCTTCGCATTCGCATTCGACGACATTGTTGAATATACAAATGAATGTGTGAATAATATGTTTATTAAACAAAGTGAATATATGAGTAATGAATGACATCAAACATGATATTGTTTCATGCATCAATAATTACAATTGACGCACGTGGTTAATCACGACAAAGTATGAAAATATGTATAATCTTCTATTGTCTCTTATACACGAACAACAATTAACAAATAAAGCGTTCACCCTCTCAATACAACATATAACAAAAAGAGTTATAGTATATCATCCTGATGTATTAATTGGAAAATCATAAACATCTTGTTCGAGTGTATGGAGTGATCCATTCGTTCGTCGAGCAATATCCATCAGAGCAGGATTGATATTGCTTGAAACTTCACATGGAATCACTTTGATACGTTTGTTTTTTAAAGATGGAAGTAATACTAAATCTCGAGGCGTGGCTGAATTATCGGCAATATGAATGATGTTTTTACATGAAGGACATCGATTTATACCATAAAGAAGTGCTTCAATATCATTCTCAGGACCATCGCCACCACTACCCTTACTTGCAGCATAGTTCATCATGTGTAGAACTTCGGATATATTCGTTGCATTTACGGCATAGATACCACCAGTTGCATTTATAACTTTAACAGCATCATTTTTATTGTCGCCATCATTGAAGAAAACATACATTTTGATCGTTGTTGATCGATGTAACTGTTTCATCCATTGAACTATAGTAGTTGCACAACCAATCATCGAGCTTGTAACATCAATTACTGCCAGCGCATCCGGCCATTTATTACGACTAAGCACGCGACTAATAACTAGTTTATCAGTGGTGGCATTAGTTTGTTCGCATCGCAGTCCGTAATAATAGGCCGGACAAGAACAAACAGTTTCGTTCGTACCTCTGGGATGACAGGAGCCCTATGTAGTAGAAGTGTTCAATCGGAAGAGAATTTAATCGATCAATAAACATACACCGTTCTGACATGGATTAGTGATTTGACACGGATTTTCCGTTGTGAAAAACATACCTGAAATTAAAGACATCTTTGAATATCGGTGTTAATATTTACAAACGCATTTACTCGTGATGTGTGTAGTTTCGTCAGAAATATTGTTTAGTAGAGGCGATCTTGTTGTATCATTCGGAAGAAAACTTGTTCCAGTTGATGTGCACGTAGTATTTGACATTCGTGTTAAATATATTACCGAGACAATAATACCTGCAATGAGGAGAGATAACATCAATAACACGATGACGACTTTAAACATCCGTGACCAAAAACGGTCTTTGTCATTCGTTGAGTCCATTGACGCTTCAGGGATCGCTGTTAAATCAGCACTGACATTCTCAGTCTGGTGCATTTAGACATACAGAAGAAATCAGATGTTCTCCAAATTCAATTTTTTGAGTAATCGATACACATGTTGTTTCCGAAAAAAAATATCTACTGAATATATACCAAATTAATTTCCCGTCCGAGATTAAAAACAAATATTGAATTTATTAACCTAGTATCAAATGTTGAAATGGATTACACTAGTGCATACAAAAGTTTTGAATAAAATCAGCATAAATCTGATTGTAGGACTGTTACTAACTCTAACTCATTCGTATCTGTACAACAATCGTTCAGTTGCATCGCACGTGTGTGACTTGAATAGAAAAGATTCTTTAGTTCTTTTCGAAAGAGCCGGCTCGATAATGTATATAAATAAAAACTTGAGCAAGGACCAATATTTGATAGCATTCCAACAATTGTAATAGTCAAATCTTCGTACGCAATGTCGAGAATAGTCTTCCGTGAACTTTTATTCATTGATATGTGAATAAATGCCGCACAGAATACTAGTCCTGTTATGCCGTAAATAAACACTTGGGTGAATAACATGCGACATAATTGCCGATCTGAAACTTTTGCTTTTAGTTTTGCAGAATTGACGCGAGCCGTCATATAGAAAGTCTCTTTTTCGTGAACATGTCTCAGAGTAAGTAATCCAAATATAAACATGCAAAAAGGTGGAAGAAAACCAAAGATGATCAAATTATAGAACGAAAAGATCTTCCGATAGATACCCAACGGACCAGCACTGTGACAAACACGTTTTTGTGTTGCTGGTTCGATATAAAAGCGAAAGTGAATAGGAATATGAACATAAGCAAGAAAACACATAATAGTAGTGATGAGAATAGCTCGAGAAGCCACGTGAGTGCTGCTCCATGCTCGTTTGTCTGTCGATGAACAACTACACAAATATCGATCGATACATGCTAAAACAATAAACCAAAAACCTAACAATCTAAAACACGATTCAAATAGAAAATTCGGATCAGTTATCATGATGCAAACCTGATCGAGTACAGAAGAAACCAGATGATTTTGCATGCAATGAGTGAATGAAGAGTTGGATCGATGTCGATGTATCCCGCTTGGATTAGTCGCATTGGGAGAATAAAACACGAACTAAGAAGTCCAGAAACAGTCGCAGCAAATAGGTACATGACACACGGATTCGTTCTCAATGTTCGACGAGTAAAAACGAAGATACTTAATAGATGACCGATAATACCAAATGGAATCATGATTAAGCAGAAGCATCGAATGAACGTCATTGCATACCATTTGATTTGTTGAGCTTCAAATTGCAAATCAGTTTCGTTGGATAATGGCAAATCCATTCGGATTCTTCTTCGAAGAAAGTTACAAGACAATTTCTCTTCCTTTTCTGCTCACAAGGAAAAAAAATACTTTCGTTGTTGTACTCTAATTAACATTTTTTACAAGTCTATATTCTACTCTTCCATTCTACACACCTTATATCACGAATGTAACACAATCAGTCTTTTCTTTCAGTTCATGATTTTTATGAAGGAAGTAAAATTAGACAAGAGCTCCCACTGATCTTCGATGCTAACAATATTTGGTAATTTTCTTATCATTCTGTTTTTCTTGTGCTGCCGTAGTGTCTCATCTTCTTCTCATCAAGGTATATGCTGAAATGAGTCCTCCCATTCTATTTCTATAAGAGAATACTTGATTAGCAGAGACGTGTAACATGAAAAAAAGTAAGTTTAACCTTCTCAAACCGTTACATAACGAAGAAATAAGGTCAGCAAATCTTCTCAGTTCATCTTGTCGTCAACACTGTTAAAAAGAGAATGATAACGATATGAAAAAGAAAAACTATACTATAATTGATTGAGAATTAATTGAGCGTTTGACAGGAAGAAATGAGCTGCTTAATACACTCGTTGATTAAGTAGATAAATAAAAAAATGTGTCATAAACACGGAGCTATTTATGCACATGACAATATTCTTCTGATTACATGGAAAGTGGAGTACATTATTGCAATAAAGCTAAATTTTCCTATTATCAAATTGATGAGAGCCTATGATAATTTGCATGTTGTTATTAGTGACAGAAATAGTTTGTTTTTTTCATAGTTCTAGTATAGTTTTAGCTGGAATGTTCTATAAAAACAAAGCTCCTACCGCAATCATTATATCAGAGTATATATAGTACACCCTTGATTACAACGATTGCTAGGTTCACTCCTTCATCATACAATACGTTGTATTGAATAATTTATCTTTTCTTATAGTGACGATTAATGCATAACATGGAACAAATCTGCCGATTGTTTCTCTATAAATTCATACGTAATAAAAGAGCATAGCAAGATAAAATAAATCTCGGACGTTTTCGAAAATTAGCTCATATGCGATGATAATCAATTGACATTGTTTTTCAGGTTAACTTTATTTCAAAGAAGATATTGCTGATGGTTCAAAACACATCGCGCGTGTGTTATTGAGAGATGTGAAAAGTAAGAAACAACTTGTATGTCATTTGCAGTGATGTCTGAAGCGGACAATTGGAAGAAGAACCACAAACGTACGCATACTCCACCACTTAACCGAGTGCAAGATTTGTTTTTCTTTGACAAAACTAACATCGACGCATAATGTTCGATATGCGAAGAATGGAGAAGTCAATGTAGTCGTAGATGTTCTCATTAGAAGAGAACCGATTTCATCGGTCAGATGAAACTCATAATCCACAAGAATACGCTACTTATTTCTATTCGCTTGGTCTGATAGATTAAGAAGCAACATTTCACTCTTGTCTACCTCTCATTAAAGTAACACTATTAGACTGAAATACCTTTGTTTTTTTAATGAAAAAAAAAGAAAAACTTTCTATAGTTTGTTCCAGAATAACGCATTTAGTCACATCCGAGACGAATAGATGCGCACTTATTTGTCAAAAGAAAAAGAGACGTATTCGAGCATGTAGATATTACTTTTCAGTATAAACTCTTTTATAACTGAGAAGAACACGTTTCTTGTCGCTATCTTCTAAAATGCTACAGAATACGACCGAGAAAGTCCAAACTACTGGTAGAGATATCTATCTACCTCCGAACTGGTCGGACATTACCTTCTCTCTATATATAGTTGGTCAATTAGCATCGATTCCTTGCTATATATTTGTATTTTATCATCTTTTGGCTACTAAAACTGCGCGCACAGCTCTCTACAATCACACTACTATAATCATGTTATTTTTCAATTTGATTTACCTGACAATAGGTATATCATTAGTATTAATGTTCATGAAAGGAGGCGTGTACATACCACCCACTCCCGCACTTTGTCTTACTCATCAAATGGTCGACCGTGGAGTTTGGTATGGAGCTGTATTTACAATGATTTGGCTGTGTATCGAACGACATATCCTAATCTTTCACTCAAACTGGATCCGAACTACACGTGGGCAGTGGATATTTCATTATATCCCATTAGCTCTTTTCTCTCTGTATGCGCCATGTTTTTATTTCTACATGATTTTCATTTATCCATGTGAACATACATATGATTATCATGTTACTTTATGTGGTGGGCCTTGGTACTCGTGTTCGTTGTCAGCATCACTTCGTTTGTATTTAACATTTGGCCATAACTTCATACCATTCCCAATCATTTTCATTGTTAGCAGTAGCTTTCTACTTCGAGTCTTGATCCAAAAGCACCGTTTGAAACGTGGTAATATGTGGAAAAAAAATCGAAAAATGATTTTACAATTTGCCTTTATTTCTACGACTTATATCAGCTTTGCTCTACCTTTCACGATGGTCAATATTACACGAAGAGTAAATGGTTATGATGTCGATCCGAATGTGCGAACACTGTTTGATCAGATGGCGAATGTACCAGCAATAGTTTTACCTTATGCCACCGCTATAACGTTACCTCATGTGAAAAAGAAACTTCAAATGTTAATTTGGTGGAAACGCACACGAATGGCTATCAATCCTTTATCGTGATACATTGAACTACACAAATAAGATAATTTTGCCTCATTCTTTTTATTAATGTTGTCTAAAATTTTGAAATAAACAATTCTTATCGATATATAGACAGCGTCTGTTACAATTTCCCATCACAGTGGAAGATCAAAGTAGTAGAACGAATTATAAAAGATTTATACGCGTTTGATGTTTCTATACACATCGTGTGAAAGAGGAAAACGATAGATAAAAAGCGTTATCAATATTATAAAGAGCAGAGAACGAAAAAACATCTCATATATAACCAATGCAGCTGTAGCTGCGTTACATTTTACGTTCTTCTTCTCGTCTTTTATCGCATGATGATTTTTGTTCTACTTGGTGTCGTTGCCGTCCTAATTTTTCTTGTCAAAATATTCGATACCACTGACATTCCGAAGATCCACGGACTTCCTGAAGCCCCTAACTGGCCAGTATTTGGCAGTTTATTTCAGCTGGGTGAGAATCATTCGAAATCACTCTCAAAATTAGCGAAAAAATTGGGTCCAGTATTTCAAATTCGCATGGGAAATCGACGCATTGTAGTGGCAAACTCGTACGATTCGATCAAGTATTTCTGGGTTAAAAATCAAGCCGCACTGATCAGCCGGCCGGCATTGCATACATTTCATAATGTTGTCAGCAGTGAAGTTTTATCTATTGGTACTTCGCCGTGGGATGAGTCATGTAAACAGCGTCGTAAGGCAGCAGCGACTGCATTGAATAAACCAGCTGTTCAGACATACATGCCCATCATCGATCATGAATCATATATTGCAATCAACGAAATATTGCACGAATGTCAAGATGGCAAAGCTGATATTAATATTATTCCTCATCTTCAGCGATTTGCATTAAATACATCGTTAACCCTTAATTATGGCACACGAATAGCTTCGTCGGATGATGCACTTTTGAAAGAGATAGTTACAGTTGAAGGAGCTGTGGCACAGTTGCGATCAGCATCGAATAATTGGCAAGATTATGTTCCCCTCCTACGAATATTTCCTGCACGATCAAATGAAGCAGCGACAATTCGTCAACGTCGAGATCGTTATCTTGTTCGCCTATTGAATGGTCTAAAAAAAGACATTGCTAATGGAGTCGATAAACCATGTATAACGGGAAATATCCTTAAAGATCCATCTGCTAAATTAAATGAAACAGAAATTCGAAGCATTTGTTTGACAATGATCAGTGCTGCTCTCGAAACAGTTCCAGCAAACATTATTCTCGGCATTGGTTACCTTTCATCGCCACATGGTCAAGAAATTCAGGAACGTGCCTATCGAGAAATTCTCGATGTCTATCCGAATGGTGATGCATGGGATAGATGTCTTGATGAAGAACAAGTTCCATATGTCACCGCTCTCTACAAAGAAATTCTTCGTTATTATACTGTTCACCATATGAGTCTTCCTCGACGTAGTGTTCAAGAGATTGAATACGAAGGTTCACGAATTCCAGCTGGTACGTCATTTTATATGAATGCATTTGCCGGTGACTACGATGAGAATCATTTCGAAGATCCGTATCAATTCAATCCCGATCGCTATCTAGGTGATGTGGATGGTACACCTCATTACGCATATGGTGCTGGGACACGAATGTGTATTGGTGCTCATTTAGCGAATCGAGAACTATACACATTTCTCGTTCGACTCATCATTGGATTTCGCATTCTCGGACCATTGAATAAAGAAGATGCCGCAATCTTAGATGGAATGGAAATCAATGCACGACCTACCGGTCTCGTTGTGCAACCAAAAATGTTCAAATGTCGTTTCGAACCGAGAAATTTAGAAGATCTGAAACGATGGATAGATGGTAGCAAACAACGGGCAGAGCATCATTAGAATATAAAGCTTTCTTTTTTAATTATAATAAAACGAAATGTACTTTGTCTTTCTATTCGAACAAGTCATAGAATACGAATATTTGTATGTTTTCTTTTTTAATTATTTTTTACATATCATCTGAAGACCTATTCACAAGTGATGGTGAAACAATAGACTGCAAAAGTAAACTGTATTCACAAAAAGATTCATTCTGAAATGAATGTGTTTGTCGCTGGATTGATTCTCGGCTTGTTAATCGCAGGAAATGTACTAGCAGTTTTAATCGTCCTTTGGCGAACATCAGGTTTAGCATTGCGATGATACCAGTATACATGTGATTGCATTTTTTTTTCTAGCTACAAGCTCTACAAATACGAGTTTAGTCAGTACAACTGTAACAAGTACCCAAGAATCGACTACATAGAAACAAGCTTTGTTTTTTTCATTCTTTTTCTAGATAAAAGTTCAACAACAACAACAGCAACTACTACGACTGCACCTCCGTCATCGGCCTGCGTATATAATACCAGTATAACTTTCTACAATGATCAATTTCTTTATTCTCCAACATCACAAACTTATGCAGCTGGGATGTTAAACAATCAATTTGGTGTTTTCAAAGCTTATAGCTATGGAAATGTAACTGCACAAGCTATATGGACTGCAAATCAAACTTCCACATCCGTTCCATGTTTTCTTGCTCTACAAACTGATCGTAATTTAGTTGTCTACGCAACGCGTAATCAAACAGTACTATGGGCGGCTAACATTTATAATAATGGCACTGGAAAACCATTCTGTTTTAAAATATCCGATTCTGGAAACCTAATCTGGACTGACAACAGTAACTCGATCGTCTGGCAAACAAATACAGCACAAACGGGATAATTCTTTTTTACTTTTTTTCTTACTCACATGTCCAACATAAACTAAGACTGATCAAAAAAAAAATCTATTTGCAATGAAGTTTTTCTGTTTTCAACCTTTTATTCGCGGTAATTGACCACATTGTCGGCAGATAGAATAATAACCAAATCGTTGAAATAGTTCCCATACCCATTCCAAATGACAATGTATATGGTGGGACTGTTTGAAAATAAAATGCTTCACTACATGACCATCCTAACCAGACCAGAAATGACCATAGAGTCGATAGATACAATGCACGGTGGTGCAAAGAGAATGCAGTTAATGTTCGTAAGACAGCAAATGTTAATGTCCACCAAACAATAACTCGTCGTAGGATTGGCACTGTCATGCCGTCATTGATTAAAATATTTGCACTACCAACGAATAGATGTTCTAACGATTCTGGTTTGCAGGCTAGAAATGCTGCGCCGATAAAATTGTATGCACTAACTATTAGTAACCAGTAGGAAAGATAGGAAAGAGCCATAAGACAAACTGTTTTGCTTATGAGTATCTCCGTTTGTAGAACTTTGTTTTAAAGCAAGAAAAACGAAATATAGTGTGTTTTATAATATTCATGTATTGTTATCACATCCCTATCAGTTGAATGCAAACATTATAAACTGCTTGTAAACTGAGAACAGTTTACTTGGATACTCTCTCTCTCTTACTACTTTCTAGCGAGTATTTATAAAATAAGAAATTGATAAAGCAGCTATTATAGAGCAAGTCTCGTTTGCATCGTTATGTTATATAGAAAATCGAACGTGTTCATCACTGTAAATAATTTTAAATATGATTTTCAAGTTTGAAAGAGTACCTCCAACGATACATGAATGCGTTCATTGTTTCGTGTCTCAAGTAATACAATTTATAGTTTATGATTCTTTATTTCGCGGATAGAAATCTGTTATCAGTTCAGGTAAACACACAACTGATGGTGAACAGCACAAATTAACAGTGCACAACTATATGTCACATTCTTGCACGAACTACGATAGTGTGATGGAAACCAAAATTTCTACTGAACGAAGAAGAAAGAATAGACCCATTGATTTTCTTTTTCATAGATCGTCTACCAGCATCTTTTCGAAAATCTTGTTCTTTTTTAATTCGGTTATCTGCGCATTCCAACTTCAATGAAAATCATGGTGATCGATTGAACTGTTTTATTGTCACAACTATTTAAAAAAAAAACAAATGTTTCGACAATCGGACTTGCTCTTTTTTTTTCAGATTTTAAAAACGCATCGTTGAAGGAATATCTATTGAAACAATTCTTCGAATATAATCGTTTGTGCTGGTTCGTAGGGTGCATACCACATTCCAAATTCCAATGCTGCTAAATGAATATGTAGTGTGATTTTACCATTGAGTTCAAGTTCTACTTCAATTGTATGTTCCGTATGTCCTGTGCATGCTGATTGCAATAATGATCGAATGTCTTGCACGTCCAAATACGTCGTACTCTTTTTCAAACGAAACAGCGCTTCCATTTGTTGTCGAATACTTTCGTAACGATGCAATGAATTAAAACTGACATTTGATTCAAAATTGCGATAGTCTTCGCCGGATGAAGAAGTAAATCCATAGCGGAGGAAGTGATTCGTTGCTAATATACAATCAGGGATATATGGCGGCGCTTGCAGAGAAGTTCTTAGACATCCTCCGTACCGATCGCCTTCTAATACAAATGCACTATTCTCCTGGTCTGATATTGTGGCGAAAACAAATATGCTACCAGGACCACAGATAGGCCCTTTCAGTTCACTGATAGCTTTGTCTGTCGGCCAACATTTTGAATCATTGTTAAGCGTTGAATCAGGTGTGAATTTTTCAAATGCAGCTTTCATATCGTCTTTCGTGATTGAGCGAGCATTAAGTGTTCGTAGTGCATGAGTTGCCACATAAGAAACAGGTGTCAAACCTTTAATCTGTCCTCCAATTTGTGAAGGTCCAGCATTTTCCATCGAATAGAATCCAGTTTCATTGACGCCAGATAGTACACCTACCATTCCGGGCCACGATAAGCTAACATAACGGTATTCTTTCGATGCGCTCGAACTATTGATAGCAAATAGTAGAGTAGTCGAGACAGTCACACGACGAATATCACATTCGCCATCCATATTGCGACCAGCAATGATTCGTTGATCAGCTGTTAAAGTATTCCCAACGACAACTTGACTACAGTTTGGATCATCCGTACGCGCATCTGATCTTATTGTTCGACGCTCAATATATGAATTCATGGCAAGAAGGTCAATCATATTAAATGGACGCTTCAGCTCATGAAGATAGAGCTTACAATCTATTCTTGCTTGCATTCCAAGTAGTATTCCTTGGATTTCACATAAATATTCAGTTGGATAATGGAAGAATTTCGATGATGGATCTACATATGCATAGAATTCCTTATATTTTGTTATCGATCCAAAGTTTTCTTCTAGTAAGTAAAAATAAAACCAATCGAGTATATGAGGAGCTAGTAGATATCCATGTGCATAACCTCGATCGCTGGGCGTAGAGGCATTTAATTGTAAAACTGGAATACGATCGATTCGATAGAATCGTGCCGTGTCTGTTTCTGTTGGATAACCGATAGCAAAGAATGAATGAGGTTTACGTAAAATAATATCAGCATTTGAATTCGAAATTGCATGTTGAGTCCATTTCTCGCCTGTTTCATTCGTACTCCATCCAAATGCTTGCTTCTCTGGATGCTCCAATGACCCATGTGTATCTGAGAAATCTTCATATGCAAAAATCGAATAATTACCTGGTGGTAGATTATCAATATTATAATTGCATGTATAAAGGATAGGTTCAGCCGATTGGCGAAATTGAACGTTGTTGCACGTGATTGTCACTGCCGGTTTGACATGTCCAAAGAGAAAGATTTCTTTAGTCAGAGGAAATTGGCTATCATCTGCTCGATAACATTGCACGACAATTTTCAAGAAGGATTCATTTCGAAAGTGCAAATCATCGAATGATGGGCAAGCCAATTGATAACGGACGATGTTCCCTGACACAAACATGATCGATGGACAACGAAAAAAGACGTCCTCGTGTTAGCATGTGAAATATTCAGAAAGAAAGATAAACCATTCTTGTTTATCACTAAGATAAGAAGCACAGTAACCGTATTTATATTCGAGATGATTATTTGTTTTCATTTTAGGTATGCTATCTCTACTTGTCTTTCTGTTGTTAATATGGATACGACCTGTTGCCTCGGTAGATTTGATGAGCGATACATGGACGGCAACCGATGGCCTTGGTCGTTCTCTTCCCAAAACAGTACCGCCACCACGACCAGATCGATTCGTTGGTATGTTTTATTTTCTCTGGCTTGGTTTTGAATCACCTGACGGACCATTTGACATCAGTAAAATTCTCACAGCTCATCCAAATGCAATGTTAGAACCAAATAATTCCGCATGGGGACCGATGACTCATTATCATCACTGGGGTGAACCTTATTTTGGCTACTATCGTTCAAACGATCAATGGGTTATTCGTCGACATGCGAGAATGCTGGTCAATGCTGGTGTTGATGTTATCTTCTTCGATGTCACGAATACTGCTGTTTATCTCGAGTCGTTTCGAGCTATATGCCAAGCCTTTTCCGATGTGCGTGCAGTAGGAGGATCAACACCGCAAGTTGCATTTCTCACACCTTTCGGATCACCGCTCGGAACAGTGCAAGTTCTTTTCGACAACATTTATAAGATAAACTATTATTCAGAACTGTGGTTTCGATGGGAAGGCAAGCCATTCATCCTTGCCAATCCACAATCCTTTCAAACGCGTCCGGATATTTTAAATTTTTTTACTTTTCGAACGCCTCAGCCTGATTATTTCACTGGACCAACTGGTGCCAATCAATGGGGTTGGCTAGAAATATATCCTCAACATATCTACAAAACGAGTACAAACATATCGGAACAAATGACTGTGGGTGTCGCACAGAACGCCGTTGGCAATCGATTGGGATCGATGAGTGAAGTTGGTTCTCATGGACGTAGTTTTCATAACAATACTATTCCATCGGGTAACACATTGACACCGTACGGATTGAATATGCAAGAGCAATGGGAACGTGTCATAGAAATTGATCCACAGTTCGTATTTGTTACTGGTTGGAATGAATGGATTGCTATGCGTCTATCGGAATTCGCTAGTATAAAACTTCCAGTTATGTTCGTCGATGAATTCGATTGGGAACATAGTCGTGATATTGAACCTTGCGCTGGTGGAGTTAGCGGAGGGTATCCTGAAGGTAGGCAGTGTGATTTGTATTCAGTTATCAATATGCAACGGTTTCTTAGGAAATTATTATCAGGATGCTTATTATTATCAATTAGTGAGCAATGTTCGTCGTTATAAAGGCGCTCGAACTGTTCCAATACCTACTGAACCAAAAACCATCAATATTGAACCAGATTTTACGCAATGGGAAACGGTTGGACCATCATTCATTGATTATATCAATGACGTAGAACATCGCGATGAAATTGGATACAACACTAGTATGCGGTACCAGGATGATACCGGTCGAAATGATATTACCTTAGTCAAAGTAGCGAGAGACATGAACAATGTTTACTTTTATGCTCGAACTAATAAGACACTGACGAATGCGAATAATAGTTCTAACTGGATGTTACTCTTTATTGATATTGATCAAAATTTTACGACAGGATGGGAAGGATTTGATATCGTAGTTAATCGTCACATTAATGGTTCACTTGCATCTATCGAACGAAGTCAGTCTGGTTGGATTTGGCAACTCGTTTCACAAATTGCTTTTGTCACTGTTAACAATGAACTACAATTCGCTATTCCCAGAACGTTATTAGGTTTCAATAGCACAGCTCCTATCAAGGTTAATTTCAAGTGGGTAGATAATATGATACATGACGGCGATATTCTCAGTCTTTTTCAAAATGGAGACACTGCTCCGGATGGTCGGTTCAGTTATATATTTAATGGTTAGGAATTGGGAAAAAATTGTACTTTTCAAACATGTTCAAACTCTAAACTACTTGAGCATGCGCTTCCTGTTTGGTTTTCTTTTGAAAAGCGCTCAATCCATCGTATTCATTGTCACCCCAATAGAAAATAAGATTCTTTTCTGTTGCACCTTGTCCATATGGATAATACTTCTGATAGTCTAATGTATTGCTTAGTCCTCCCTTTTGGTCGACCAGAAGAATCACATTTTGAACATTTGGTTTGATAGTATTTCGGAGAACTGTATTACCAGATGCATACGAAATCGAAATTTCTCCACCACCTGTATGATTGTTGTCATTTTGTTCAAGACGATTGTCAGTAAATGAACTATTCACCACTCGCCCACGTCTAAAGGCGTTCATTTTCGTTAATCATTAACAAAAAAAGAAACTCTTAAGAAATCATTTACTTAGAATCATATCCACCGAAGGCCAATCCATATTTGTCATTGTGATGAAGATAATTATTTCGTACAGTCATCTTCGTAGCTATTTGACCTTTATTCTCTGCACCAATTTCAATTCCCATGTCTGAATGGTGTACTTCATTGTTTTCTATGGTGATATTCGATGCTCCATCAACATAGATACCAGCTGCACTATGATCGTAAACCGAGTGAATGTTCCAAACTGTGTTATTCGCACATCGAGCATTTCGAACTCCCAGTGTACCGGCCCAGCTTTCTCCAGCTAGTAATATGTTACAGTTAACTTTTTAATTAGAGAAATCATCAAAAGTCATACCGATGAAATCGATTCCAATGTTGTTCATGTTATACACTTTGTTGTTCGTTACTTGAATCTCTTCAACATTTCCATTGAATGTCAAAGCTTCACTCCATGCTGGTTCACAATCATGAAGGGTGCAATTATCAACAATCACTTGTCGTCGACTCGTGTTCTGATTTGTGTTGTAAACAGTAATCGCCATTGCACCACCGTTTTCGCCACCTCCACGGATATCGTGAATGTGCAAATTTCGAAGTTCTACAAACAAAAACTATATTTTTGATAACGACAGGTTCAAAACCTACCAACATTGGTTCCAGCGCCAATAATTCTCACTCCACTGCATTCTGTCGATTTCAAACCTGTCAATTCTAAGTTGACAAAGCGGAGGTAACTTTTATTTTGAACAAAGATTATATTTAATGTTCCATCAGCGGATGCTTTTTTTGTGTCTCTGCCAGAAATAATCGGTGCACTGTTTGATGTCAAACTAGTGAACGTAATCGGTCCGTCTTGAGCATTGCCTTGAACATTAATTGTGACAGCTTCATAATAAGTACCAGCACCAATATAGACAGTAGAACCAGGTGTTGCTGAATTCGCTGCTTTTTGAACTGTTAACCAAGCAGTGGCTTCAGTAGTTCCTGCATTAGTATCCTTGCCAGATTTGGTCACGTAGTAAGATTTACCCGCCACTATTTAAAATAAACACATAAAACATGTCAAGCTCAATCATATGATAGGCGTTCGTGTGCATACTTATTTGCATCCATAATAGGGCACTGATCAAACATATAAGTTGAATTTGAAAAGACATATGATGAAAATCGTGAATACGAATGAGGTGGTAGATGTTTATGTCGTTTTTTTATATAATACATTGGTTGCGATTGAAAGTGCAGGCAAATATTTACACCTCTTCTACTGTTTAGTCATAAACGGTTTCTTTTCAAATTGTGTCATGCATAGCCTCCAGCGCAATGAATCCATTTTGTTTTGTATCAGAAACAAATCGAAAAATTTACCTTGTGAAAAGATGCCATTAGAGGCATTAGTAATCAATGTTTTTCTTGGTGACCATGCATTTGCAAATGTAAAATAATCATGACTACGTGTCGTCACCTTTATCGATTGAAACGATGATTAGATTTTTCAATTTTTTCTTTCTCTCACCTTTTCACCATCTGACAATGTTGTCGTTGTCATGTGACTGGCAAACACGATATATCTTTATTCAAAACTTATGTAAACAAATGTTTCTACTCCAAGGCACGTTTACCAACACTGGTTTGTGCATGCATCTCTTGCTTTGTATTCTCTTGAAATGTAGTGAGACCCTGGTATTCTCTATGTCCCCAATAGAAGATAAGACTTTCTTTTGTTGCACCTCGTCCGTTCGGATAGTACTTTTGATAATCGAAGTGATTATTCAAACCCCCTCTTTGACTCGCTACTAGGATTACGTTCTGTCTGTTTGGCTTTATTGTATTGCGCTGCACTATATTACCAGAAGCAAATGAAATGGAAATTTCTCCGCCACCAGTCAGATGTGTATCATTCTGTTCAAGATGATTGCCAGTAAATGAACTATTTGTCACTGTACCACATCTGTAAAGTATCAGTACACATTTATTGATACTACCAAAATATGTGTGAATATAACTTACTGAGAATCATATCCACCAAAAGCTAAGCCATATTTGTCATTGTGATGAAGATAATTATTCCGAACAATCACCTTTGTAGCCATTCGACCTTTATTCTCTGCACCAATTTCAATTCCCATATCTGCATGATGTACTACGTTGTGCTCTATGGTGATATTCGATGCTCCATCAACATAGATACCAGCTGCACTATGATCGTAAACCGAGTGAATGTTCCAAACTGTGTTATTCGCACATCGAGCATTTCGAACTCCCAGTGTACCGGCCCAGCTTTCTCCAGCTAGTAATATGTTACAGTTAACTTTTTAATTAGAGAAATCATCAAAAGTCATACCGATGAAATCGATTCCAATGTTGTTCATGTTATACACTTTGTTGTTCGTTACTTGAATCTCTTCAACATTTCCATTGAATGTCAAAGCTTCACTCCATGCTGGTTCACAATCATGCAGGGTGCAATTATCAACAATCACTTGTCGTCGACTCGTGTTCTGATTTGTGTTGTAAACAGTAATCGCCATTGCACCACCATTTTCGCCACCTCCACGGATATCGTGAATGTGCAAATTTCGAAGTTCTAGAAACAAAAAGGATAATTTTAATATCGATAAGCGTGAAACCTAC